ATAGTCATAAAGATCCTAGTGTACATTTTTCCCCATTCACCTGAAGACTTCAAAACTTTATCTATGAGGTGGATATGTGTAGAACTGCCAAACATATTTTTCTCCTTCTGAACATTAAGCAATTCTCTTGTCTCCACACTTCTCCACACTTATTCCTAAAGATGAGAATTTAACTCTTTATTCTTTCAAACCAGGCTCCCAGTGCTAGGTCTCTGCAAATAGACTGGGGCAGATATGAAAAGTTAAGCATGTCCTTTTAAAAATATATATTGTAGATTAACATCAATACTGGGCATTTTGTTTCCTGTTCAACAGCACAATATGTCTTTCTGAGCAGTGTAGTGAATATATGACTCAAGTTGAAGAGAGCTTTGACTGAGGAAGCCAGTGGAAACTAGAAAGCCAGCCCAACAATCTTAGTTAAGATGCTTTTTCCTTCCCATTCAAAACGTTCAGATATTAATATAGTGTGTGTGTTTTAAGTAGATTTGCATTAAGTAGATTTATATAGGGGAACAGATACAGTATGTTATATAAAATTAGCATATCTCTGTGTTTTCAAGTGAATGTGAAACAATGCACACTAGAATCTGCACTAACATGCAAATTACCACCATTTGTTTGTTTCTTTATTTGTTTAGACAGCTTATTAACTGATGTCAAAACAGAAATAAAATTTAATAATATGTAGCTTTGAGTATAGATGAGTATAGATAAAGAAATATATTTTTTGGTAGTTAAAAGCTTAAGAACATCAACCAGTGCAGGAAGTCCATCCATATTGTTTGCTCCTACCAAGAGCGATCAAATCAGAGCACTGGATAACTAGAGTGACTCTTGCAAACGTGAACCAACACTGCTGGAGGAAACACAGGCAGCAGCCACAGAGGATTTGATTACTGAAGTTGGAGTATCAAATAAATTACTCATTTCTGTAACTCCTCAGAGGGAACCTAAATAATCCTATTAGAAAACCAGCAGAGCCATTTTATTCCTTTTTCAAAAAATAGAGCTTGATCCCCCATAGAAAATATAAACTGCGGGCAGACACATTTTAAGAAATTGGAAGGTGGTCTGCGTTGCTTCCATGGTGAACCTGCTAATTTCTTTTGTCCCATGACAGTCGCTGGTCAGGTTTTTGAAACGTTGCAGAAACCTTTTTAACCAGAAACAGTAGTGCAGAGGAAATAAATGTGTGCCCCTGTGGGTTATTGGACTCCAGCTCCCATCAGCCCCCACCAGCAGGGATACTGGGAGTCAGAGTCCAACAACGTCTAGAAGGCACAATACCTTCCCTTCAGAAGTGGTTAAGAAAAACTGAGTGGCTGTTAGGGATGGGAAAGAAATTCAAGTCAGTTCACATTTAAAGCCTAATCTACCAAATTCACACTTTCTGAAACAATACAACCGGAACACAACCATCCTTTGAAATCCACACTTTATCTGAATATTGCAGTGCAGTTCTCCAGCCAAACCGTGTTTACAAGAATGTATATGTTAAGGGAAACTCTGTATAAAAGTGAAAATATTGGGGGAAATAACATACAGAAATAGAAGAATTGCTTACAATAATGTGTGCATTCAAAACTGCAGATAAAAATGTGTTCATTAGAATAAATTCTCACTAAAATGCTGATGAATCTTTGTAATAACCTTTTTAAAATAAATACACAAATTGCTGCAGAAATGTGAAGAACTGAATTTAAGATTGGAAAACCAAAAACCTGAAAGAAATGAAATTGACAGATCCTTCTAATTCTAGTGGGCAATACCATGCCACCTTCCAGGTTCTAAAAAACCCATGTCTGTCTCCAGACATATGCTGGGGAAAGGGCCTGTCTTTACAACTGTATACAAGTTACTAGATGGGAGTAATAATGGTAGAAAACAGAATGCAAAATCTACCACACAGCTGACAAATCTGATTCATTGCTTACTCCCTTCCTCTATCTGGAAGGAACTACGCTTTTAAAAATCTGTATGCTACACAGTGCCAGATATATTTTTATGCCAATGCAATGAAAATGACTGTGCCTATTATTTCTTATGTGAGGCATCTGAGTGGCTGATGTTGGAAGCCAACATACTCAAGAATCTTACTGAAATCAATGGATCTGCTTTAGGACTGCTCTTGAGCAAGCAGGTTCATTGTGGCTTGAGTATGTTACTGCATTAGGTGGCACTTGGTGTTCTAGCAATCTTGTTGCCTCCGTCTGGGAGAAGTGCCACCACTTTTTTAAAGGAAGCCCAAAAGGTTGTTTCAGAATGATACTCAGTGGCAGTGAAACCCCCACCCTGCTATGCAATGTGAATTTGGTTACACAGCTATCTTCTATATTTGTATTCATAGAATATGAATCCTCCCAGTGCTTTTTTTTTATAGAAAAAAGGTGCCAGTACTCACCATGAAGTTGTTACAGTAAGTGCCACACTGGGGGGGGGGGGAGAAGAGTGCCAGTATTGCATACCTCGAGTCCCCCTCCCCAAAAAAAGAAGCACTGAACCCCCCATGTGAAATTTAGGGATTCAACAGACAACAGCAATACTGTGAAAGCAGGAGAAAGGTTACTCAGAAATTAAAAAATCCCATTACCACCCTCATGTTCAAGATAGAAACCTGTGTCCTTATGCAATTATATATATATATCTGACACATGTGATTTCAGAATTCCACATGGCCACCTCTTACATATGTAAAGAGACCTGATGCCCTCCAGCTATTTTTCATTCTAATGCCCATCAGCCCTAGACAGCATTGCCAGAGTTCAGGAATGATGGGAATTAGGGAAAGCCACATTACATGAGAGCTTAGTTGTGTGAAATAGTGTCTCTATATCATCTTAGAAATATTTTTCTCTTCACAGTACTCTTTATTATTCACCACCAAAAGTTTTTTTCAGTGTACAAGGTCCTTTGTAATTCATACGTCATTTATCACTGCAGTAACACCGTGAAGTAGTTACTAGTTTTCTGCACATGGACATAGTTTGAGTAAAGCAACCTTCTCCAACCTCATGCCTTCCAGAAGTTTTGGACTGCAACTTCCACAAACCCTGACTATTGGTCATGCTGGCCAGGGTTGATGGTAGTTCTAGTCCAAGACTTCTGGAGGGTACCAGGTTGGTTAAAGTGAGCATGCCCCTAAAAGCGGGGTGGGGGCAGAATGTCACTGCCAGTTGTGGCTCTGTAGTGTGTCCTGTATGTTTACAGAAGTACAGTGGTACCTCTAGATAAGAACTTAATTTGTTCTGGAGGTCTCTTCTTAACCTGAAACTGTTCTTAACCTGAGGCGTGCTTTTGCTAATGGGGCCTCTTGCTGCTGCTGCTGCTGCTGCTGCTGCTGCTGCTGCTGCGCTGCTGGCGCACGATTTTTGTTCTCATCCTGGGGCAAAGTTCTCAACTCGAGGTAGCTCTTCCAGAGTTTGTAACCTGAAGCGTTTGTAAACTGAGGCATTTGTAACTCGAGGTACCACTGTACATATTCCCTTCAGAAATTACTAGTCTCTTCCATATGATATTCAGGTAGCATCTTTTAAAAATTAAAGTGAAAAAAAGACTGCCTGGTAAAATATGAAACAGACCTAAGGACCAAAGTATATCTGACAAATGGTTGCATTAAAGAAACAAAAACCTGAAGTATCCCTAGAGGACACTGCAAGTTTAAGTAAAGCAGTGAGATGGAAGATCACCTGCTTAACCCATTTCCCTCCACCTGCTTATGCACCTCTAGCTACTTTTATATCTAAGCATGCTGGGGTGGGGGGCAGGGCGAGAAAGTGATAACCAGATTTCCACTGTATCAGGAGAAATGCAGCCTGGCTGCAGTTTTGAGCAGAAAAACAGCTAGTGAAAACCAAACTTTCTTCCTCTCAAACTGTTAGCCCCTTAAGGCCACTTCTAAGAAGTCAGGAGAAAGAGAAACAGGAGTGTGTGTTGCATCTAGTTTGAACCTAGGTTTCGTGACTGAACATCTGAATCTGGGTCTCACATCTTAAGTACAAGATGCTGTCACTGTATGCAATGGTGGCTACAGTGGTACCTCGGGTTACGAACTTAATTCGTTCCGGAGGTCCATTCTTAACCCGAAACCGTTCTTAACCTGAGGCGCACTTTTGCTAATGGGGCCTCCCGCTGCCGCTGCGTGATTTCCGTTCTCATCCTGGGGCAAAGTTCAGAGCAACTACTTCCGGGTTAGTGGAGTTTGTAACTCGAAGCGTTTGTAACCCAAGGTACCACTGTATATGAAACTTTGGCTCTTCCTGGCCTTGAAATTTCATGGATATGTATAATCTAAATCAGTCTTTTACTGTAGGGCTGCTAGCCCATTCTCAGGTCTCCACAAAAAGTAAATAGTGTGTTTCCTTTTGAATACATTAGGATAGAGGACCTGTAGTCCCACTTACAGACTGGACATGCTGAGCAATTCTTGGAGGAAGCCTTGATGATTAGAAAACAAAGATTATAATGTGGGGAAAGAGCAAAATTAAGATCCTTTATCATTTCCTTCAGTATTCCCCCCCCCTTATTGTACAAACCAACAAAAGCAATTGGAAGAAGCATCATTTGGCTAGAGTTGATCAAACGATCCCAAGTGCAAGATAAGTGACCCACAGATGCTGCTGCTGAGGTTAGCAACATGGTGTTAAGTTGTAAATGAGAGGGATAAACTGTAGAGACAATTGCCCTCAAGAGAGAGAAGGATGGGGGGGGAGGTGGAGAAACTAAATCATACATTACTGTTAAAATGTAGAAAAGAGCAGGAGTGCGAGAGTGTGGGGTGGGGAAAGGCGGAGGAACAGGAAACACAGGAAAAGGAAAAGAGTGAGAATCACACTCACGCACAAGGAGAGACGGAGAGAACGAAAGAGAGAAAATGAGCCATGCACTTACCCAGCAGCAGGAAGAAAAGCTTCAAACAGCTGAATATCCCCCTGCTTTCAATCCCTGCCTGCTGTTTTGCTAGCACGCCGGAGGCTACTATCTGTGTGTTATCTTAAAGGATGTGGAGCAAAGGCGAGTCTGAAGGGCTCCAGACTTTAGGAATTGTGGTGGTGATTTGCTCCTCTCTGAAACTTTTGCACTACCTTGGACTAATTGACTTGTCAGATGGTAAGAGACCCTGCAAAGTTCTACCAGCTTGTATACTTTTATGTATATTTTTTAAAAAAAGAACTATAGTAGCAATCTGAAAGAAATCATAATTTAAAGCACCTTTCTCCTTTATAACTACGTACTGCTTTTTCTCTCCTGCTTGATTCAGCAGTGTGGAAATTTTGCTTTGTTTTGCTTCTAGCTTCCGGAATTCCAGTTGAGGGGTATTTTTACATTTTGTTCTTGAATTACAAAGCTAGTCTCCTCCTGTAAATACTGTTTTGCCATAAATGTAGTTCCTGTTTGGTGGAATATGCCTCTCTTGGGATAACTGGAAATAGTCTCATTCTTAAAACTGTTGGGTTTACTCAATGCTTGCTGGACGGAAGTAGTTGCTGCATAACTGCTTGAGCCTAACCACATTTACTCGTAAGTAAGCCCCAGTCAGTGCAATAGTGTCCTATTAAAGTGCACAAGTGAAATCCTTATTAGTGTATTTAGATACAAACTTAATTTTAGAAGCTTTAAAAAGCAAGTGATAAATGGAAAAATAGAAACTATACTCCATAAACTAAGATTTCTTTCCTTTTGTTTGAAAAAGATTAGAGTTTGGTTTGATATTATCTGGCAATAGGAAAACAGTTCTATTCTACATATTTAAAGGAAGTTTAGCAGCCAAGACTTTGTATTTCAGGATGTTGTCATAAAATTCATTAAAAAGCTGATAATTTCTTGAATCAATTGTTTGACATGTAAAATGTAAAAGTAAGGTGAGTAAGCTATCCCTCCCAGAGTTTACAAAGTCCTTTTGACATACTGATGAATAAATATGGTCATTTTACCTTAGCCAGAACCTGTTTGAAATGAAGTCTGCACTAAAGGCAGTGCTTTCATCACTGTGAGGTTTACTAATAATGTATAAAGCAAGAATCAAATAGGAAATGAATGTTTGAGATATATACAAACATATTGGCTGAGGCTGCAATCCCACACATGCTTACTTGGGAGTAACCCCAGTAAACTGACTGGGACTCTGCACTGTTTCAAGTTTTGTCCCTTTTGTTACTCTAGAAGAACACTGACAGCAGCACCTAAATTAAATCTATTCTGATATTGGGCTCCTTGCAGGTAAAAAGTTGCCATTGGTGACAAGAAATTAAAATGTCAGCCAATGTTCTATAGATTTTTTTACAGTTATTACATAGCTATATTGCTGATTACATATTATCTGAGTCTTCCCATTTTAAGCATGATTGTAGGTCAATTTACCCTGATATGAAATGAAATCCAATGAGATGTCTCCCCCAAAAAAGCACCCCAGCACCATCAAGTAACCATCAAGGTAGATGGTATCAAGAAAGGGACTCACCTCAGTGTACTATGGAGGAAAGGGAAGCAGTATGAAATTCTGCAGCAGCTTGCATTTGCTGTGCCATCCATGTGAGTGCAAGAATTCTTTTCTGCTTGCTCTTCGCTGTAATTCCGACTGTGAACTTCTGCTGTTTTCAAGAAGATAAATCACTTGTTTTGTATGAGCAACACGGTCCTAGAAAAATCGAATTGCTATAATCAGTTTGTGGTGGAAGCTCTAGCATCGTACAATATCAGACCTTTATAAAGTGTACTCAAAACTATAATAGTGTTTTAAAACCATTTACTGGGCTGCTGTCATTATAAAATCCTGGATGAGATGAACATTTGGCACAAGTTTTTGTTTTGTTTTAGCTAACCTATCATGCAGTGGCACCGTTCAACTTCATTCAAGTACTGCAATGTTATCTGTATTAAATCTTTGCAGTAAGCAGTGCACGCTAATCCAGCTTCTCTCTGTGCTAATGGACTGCATCTCTTCTGCAGCTTTGGTTGTTAATTGCTAGTGCCTTTTGGGCTGTAAAACTATCCTCCTAGGACACGGCAGCTTGTTGTGTAAAATGCTGCTAAATAGCTTAAAGGTTCTGAATTTATTTTCCCTTGGGCCCATCAAAACCCCCAACTGAAGGAACTCAGATCCATGTCAATTACTCAAAACAGCACTTACCATCTCCTGAAATAACCTTGCTTGCTATGATGTCACATGAGAAAGGAAATTAATCCTCTAGGCTTTGGGAGTCTTCTAGGTATGACCACCAGCTCTTTCTTTGACCTCCTGGGGGGTAGTGATTCTGATGGGGAACAGGTGGCAAACTGTACAAAAAATAAAGTTGGTTGGGTGTGGTTACTGTGGGCTTAATCATAAAGAGGAATGCCACTCTCATATGTTTCCCTTGTGGATATGACTAATTCTGAAGGGCCAAGTTAAATGCAACACCATACATAAAATCAGCAGTGGCATAAAATATTTTGCAAGTGTAAACAGCAGTAAATCTAGTGTCAATGAGTGATCCAATTGGCACCTTGGTGGAGGACGGAGGGGCTTTACTGCTTTACTGCTCCAGGATAGGACCCACACCTCTGTTATTTTCACTGATAAGGAAAGTTGTAAGTTAAACTTGGAAGCTTTAATTCCAGTACAAATAGCTGGTGCAGACTCCCCAATTTGGATTGGAACAATAAAGCATTCAAGCCCCTCTCCCACCCACCCACAACCTCAATCTAGATTGGGGAGGTGGGCTGTAGTTACTACTTACACTTTAAAAACCACTCATGCAATTCCTGTTTGTGTGACTTTTGCACAACTTAGTGGTATTGGATAGTTGTTGGCATCTGTCTGTCTCAGGATACAATGGAGGAGGGCACCTTTGGGGTTAAAGTCAAACTTTTGGAAGGTTACAGCGCCTGCTGTGGCTGTAGAGACCAACATGGGAGATACGTCTTTTATTGCAGCTGGGGCAGATGAAGGAGTCCAGTTGTGCTACTGCTGATGCACTTTGATGTTTCTACTCTCTGCGCTTCTCCCAGCAGTCCTCCTCTGGTCACTGCTGTGGAAGCACGACCTGACTGTCTCCAGGCACTGTAGTCATCTGCAAGAGATTCCCATAGGGCGGGGTTGATGTTGCCAGCCTTCATGTCACATTTGAAGAAATCATTGTAACACAAAGTTGTTCTGTCAATGGGTCTGGTGCCTGAAGCCAGCTCCCTGTAGAGTAAGTGTGGCCCTACAAAATCCAACTAATCCAATAACATGCATAATGTTCCTTGTAATATAGCAGTAAGATGAGACTAACAGAAAAATAGAAAGTACACATCAAGTGTGCTAGATTCACCAGATGGTTTGTACAACATTTAAAAACTAAGACTTATAATGCTAAAAGCAACCTTGTATTAGAAAGGTTATCACTGTAAAGCAATTTTAGGTATACGTTATGTGGATAAAGGGAGTTTTATTTCAACAACATCTGGAAGACACTAGGTTCTCCACCCCTGCTATAGAAAAACCAACCTCAGAAAGGATAAGCATGGCTTCTACACTGTCTTGCCAACCTTTTAAGAAATTCCTTAGGCAAATTGGCTTAGTTTTTTAAATTGTTTTTGTTAAAGATTTCCGTGGGTTACAAAAGTACATACCGCATTTCTGCTTTCAATTCTTGGATCCTTTCTACAGATCAGTTACGTTTGATGTGAGACACTAATGTTATAGACAGTATAAGTTTGGGGGAGAAAAGAGGTGGTGAGAGAGAGCAAGGAAAATAGAAGGGGGGTAGTAAACTTTCATTCTTTTACATATTGGCTTAGTTGACTTTGTGTTTTAAATTTTTGTTTTGTTTTAAATGAATCTGCTGGTTTTTGTGTTTTTTGCTGTATTTTGCTGCTTATAATGTACATCACCTTGAGGAAATTGTGGAGAAGGTGATTAATAATAATAATAATAATAATAATATCATGCAAATTACAATGGTTGTTAATAATGACAAGCAGGATCTGCAATGAAGTGCTGCTGTGTATCTTCACCCACTAGAATAAGTGTTTCTATCTTCAGGAAACCTGAAACAGGAGCTTTATAGTGCTGTTCAGGCCTCTTGCAAGGTGATTTTCTGGAATGGAAAGGACACCCCAACCCTAATTTTCCCCACCCCCACCAAGATACTTACTAGAAGCAACTTAAATCCCCCTCCTCCTCCACCCTCCATTTTTCTTTTCTTTTGCTTTTTTCGGTTTCGTTTTAGTTGGCACAGGTAGATTCCAAACATACAGTGTCTCCAATTGCTCTCAGTCATAGACTTGCTTGACAGAAGCACACAGTCCACCTGACTTCAAGATTCTTTGCTCCCCTGGCTCACTGGAATTTCAACTGCCATCAACATTCTGTAAACTCACTGTTTCCTGTGAGGTAGCTTTTCAGTTTTTATGTAGGTTTTCTGAACAGCCGTAGCTCAGTGGTACAGAATCTGCCTTGCTTGCAGAAGGCTCCAGCTTCAATGCCTGGCATCTCAAGGTAGGGATACAAGAGACCCATTGTCTAAAACCCTGGACAACCACAGCCAATCAGTGTAGGCAATACTGAGTTAGATGGACCAATGGTTTGACTTGGTGTATAAAGCAGGCTCCTATGCTCCCACGTGTCTTTTAATTTTCCAACTTACATATTTTGCATGTCTAGGGCATGCCACGAGTATACAGAAACAACTAGCTTATTTTTGGTGTGGTACCATTTCACTCCAGAATGCTAGACACTAAACCACCAGAGTTTGCTTTTACAGAGAATGATAACTAAATGAACTTTCATCTTTCAAAGGCGGAATACAAGAGATTTGCAAAATCTGAAGATAAACAAGGAATGATCTTCACCTTTATACTCTGCCTGTGTGGTCACATACCCTGTGCAATAAGATCCATAACACTCACATTCACAATCATACAGTACTCACAATCACAACATACATATTACTGAGGAGAAGAATACTGCACTTTGCTGAGAAGCTGAAATATCTCAGCAATGCAAGTTCTAGCTTGAGTTGAGTAAAGATGACTGGATCCCTGAACAAAACGAGTGTGCTTATTCTGCTAAAAGGCATCACACGGAGAGCTTCCCTTCCCCAATCTTAATTAATGATTGATCTAATGAACTTTTTTCTGAACATGTTCCCTTTTGATGTGATATTTCAAAGGACTTTCTGGGTGTGGTAAGTGCATGTGGGAGTGTGTTCAGAAGAAATGTTGATTATGCAAAATGAAAAGGTAAGGAGAAGTCACCTTGTGGAGGCTTCAAAATCAATATGAGAATTGTGCCTCTGTCCTGCTGACACAAGAAATTCAGTTTTACTGAATTGTAGATTGGGTTGCTAGTGATTTAAAATAGCAAACTGACAGTCAGAGACATTCAGACCAAAAAATGCATAATTAGACAATCCATTTTATTTTATTGTTCCTCTGAACAGCTCTGCCTGATGAAGGCCCTCCTGTTGAGATTGAAAAGCCTGCAATTCTAAAGAAATATAAATGATCTCTAATCAAATATAACACTTTATAGCATTCTATATACCATCCTATTGAGCTAAAATGGAATAGCGGGGACCATTAATGTAATGCTGAAGGCTTATAGAATCAAGAATAATTTACTTTTTCATTCTATCCCAGTCTATCATTCTACCCAGTCCCCATTGAAGAAGTCTATGAACTTCCCGGATTTGAAGATCTAAGATACATGAACAGAGACTCCCCCTTCTGAAAATCTGCCCTTTGAAACCATTTGTAGTAGAAGATAACCCAGGAACTCAAACACATTTAAAGTCTGTTTGACCAAAGATGATAATAGCATGGTAGAAGTATTCGGTGAACACCAAAGGAAGCCAAATTTGATTGGCTAAATAGCATAAAGACATAATTGTCTTCACTGTAGGATCTCTTATTGGATGGGACTGTTTATGTGACTATTCCCAGGAAAAGAAGACCTAACAATTGTAAGGAAAAAATAGTACCAAACCAAGATTAGATCAAGGAACATGAAAAGAAAGGATTGAAAAAAGGTGAGCATTCAAGTCTCTATCTCTTCTTCCATAATCTTACCCTTTTTCATAAGCAGGATATAATTTTTCTCTTGTTGGTTCATATGAAGCCATAAAATATTTTTGTCAGCAGACAAGATAAAATAGACCACACTTTTAAGCCATGAGATTTCTGCAGAAAATGAGGATTAAATTCCAAAATGGTGTTTTATCCACCTGAGTATGTATTTGAACTTCTCTAGCATCATGGTTTTTCCATCAAAGACACCATCTTCTTACATTTCTGTACACATCTACAAGCCCCCTCCCCATTTCAGTCAAAATGAATGAAGGAGGTTAATGATCCTCTTAGTGTGCAATTCTTTAGCTCCCGAGAAGGCATTCCAGAAGTCACAGGACAGATTCGATATCTGTTTTGAATATCAGACAAAGTTCAGATGTTGGAGAGGGAGATTCAATGTCAGATGTTCCTACCCTGCCACCATCAAGGGCTCCGATGCCCTGGTCCAACATCAGTAAGGCCAAAAAAGATGTGTGTCAGGTGCAGTTCATGAACCAGAAAACAGCTTGGAACTGAAGGATCCAGAGCCATCCTGGTACCTTGACAAATCCCCAAGCTGGGGAGGAGGAATTTACACTTCTCAACATGCTTCTCAGCATGTCCAAATTGCTTCCTTTCATTGAAAACTTTTTTTTTTTAACAAAAAAACCCCCAAACTACAAAAGCAGACGGAGCAACACAGTACCCATTACTCAAGCTCAGCAGGACTTTGGCTCTGGCAGTTGATGAATTGCCTTTGGTTCTTCTCCCCACTTTAGGATTTCAGCCTTAGTGAGAGCAAAGATCCTCTTACTGGGTCTCTCTCTTATTTAACAGGCATCTAGGAAATGAGTGAATCATTCAGAGCTCTGTACCTGGAGGAAGGAGCATGAGCCCCTTTCATCTATCGAGGATATGTCTGGGGTCTGCCAGATCTGCTTTATGAGCTTGGCTCTTGTTCTGCTTTCTTACTGGAGCCCCCATCAATCACTGGGATAGCTTTACAGTGCTGATGCATTTCATTTCTCCTAAATATAGAGTGATCTGGTTCAAATATGATGTGCATTCTTGGATAGTTGTCAGCATTGATTAAATAATGCCACAACAACGAAGGTCTCCTATTCTTATATAGGTGTCTTCAAGTTTTACTTTTCGAAAAGGAAGAAATTCAAACATTCATTTTTATCTCCAAGTGTGTTCTCCAGAAGTAAGGACGTGAGGTAAAGGACGTGTTCTCCAGAAGAAATAATAATACAGAGATCAGATATTTTTTTAGGAGGTCTGGATTTTCCATGTTCAGAAAGAAAGGAAGAAACAGCTTCTGAGGCTTAGGTACATAGGAATGGGAATAGAGGAGAATTTTATTCAGTTGGCTTTTTAAAGCGAATCAGCCTCATCCACAGTTCATGGAACACCATTGGATTGCATTTTTCTGTTGTTTTGTTTGTGTGATGCAGTCTTGGTTAATGTGTACAAAAGTGAACAGAAATGTGTATTCCATGATGAAAGGCATATTTTAGGGGAAATGCATAGAAAAGTCTCCTAAACGTGTATTTTTTAAGGGGAAATGGCTGTTTTAGGGGACAGTGTACATATTAGAGATTTTAAAAAAAACAAACAAACAGGAAATGGAACTGACATGATTAAATGCATGCAGAAATGACATGGAATGGAAATAGGCTGAACCAACCATGTCTACATGGGAGTCTGCATTTCACTGACTCAAACCATTGGTGCACCTAGTTCAGTGTTGTCTCCATATACTGGCAGCAGCTCTCTGTCCTTTCAGACAAAGGGTTCTTTTCCAGCTCTATCTGAAGATGCCACGGATTGGACCTGGAATCTCTTGCATACAAGTCATATGCTCTACCACTGAGTTGTAGTCCTCCCCTAGTTAATTTGAGTCCAAGCTCATTTGACTGGCTAGTCCCACTGTACAAGTGGAAATCCTTGCACTGATGGGACACATTAGTTTGAAACTACACACTGTCTATGATCCAAAGATCCCTGTGTGCAAACAGAGAGTCCATCGGTGGGCGCACCAGAGCTTTTCAGGTTCCAGTTCCTTCTGCAACTCTATTGAACCCTCCCTGCCAACTTGCTCCTGGACGTTTGGAGTGACTCTCCAGAGAAGAATGTGATAGGTGTGTTTCCAGGGGAAATCAATGACACAGGCACACACACCACTAAGCTTTTGCACAGGAACCTTTAGATTCAAGTTACTATGTTCAAATGAATATATACTACATATAGCGTAGAACTATATGTAGAGAAAATTTAATATGTATTGGTGTCAAGTCACCACAAGTTGTCCACACACAGCTGGGTTTATGAATGGATTATGGATGGGGCTTTAGTTTAATTGTAAATCTCAACACAGCTCATTTAGACATTAAGGATAGAAGCAAACAACAATTTTATTGTCTTTACATAAGGAATGAATCTCACAAATGTACTGACAGTTTACAAAAGATGTTATAGTTTGTCCACGTTAAATTTTCAGATATATATTTTTTAGGATTTCATTTTCAATGAAAACATTTTTAATTAAACTAGATATTTCTCCAATATTAATGAAACTTAAACTTTAGTTATAATGTAGTGCAAGTAAGTTGTAACTTAGTTTAAACTTTGGGCTATTGAACAGTAGATCACTGAACTTTTCCCCCTTCCAGAAGTCAAGTTTGCTGATTCATTTGTGGAGATGGTTATTGATCAGCAGCCAGAATACCCTGCCTTTGTGCATTGCCAAGACCCTTCTTTGCCCAGAAACAGGGCTGGCACAAGACATTTTGCTGCCTGAGGCACAACAGCAAATGCCATCTCCACTTCCCTCCCCACCCCGCAAAAAAGGCAAGGTGCATGTTGTCCAAGGTTGGCCGATTAATTTTGACCTCTGAGGCAGAAAATCCTATAAGCATCTATATACAACAACAATAAATTAAATAACTAACATTTTGCTGCCATTTCTGCCTGAGGCAGCTGCCTCACTCTGCCTCATGGTAGGGCCAGCCTTCCAATATGTTTGTTTTCAATCATCCTCTCATTTTCTAATTATCCAGAGGTTTTTCTTACTGATGATATCTTACAGATTAACAGAGAATAGTCTAAAGGCCCATGGCACATTTCTACTGATTTAACCAAGCACATTTGGCCATGTAAACTGATTATATGAGCAACTGCCTGTAAAAGCTGCTCTGAGCTCCTTGTGGGAAAAGCAGGGAATAAGTCTAGTAAATAAATGTGAACAGACTGTGTTCAGAAAGTGCCTGTGAAAAATTGGCAGGCTTCTGCACACACTTGGGCATTTGCTACTTCCCATTCAGTAGTTTTGTATTTTGCATGCTCTTCTTGATTTTCCTAGCCTATTCACTTCCCCTGGTGCTCAAACCATCAATTCAGATTAGCTGCTGGCAGCTCCTGATGGCAAAGACAGGCTTTCCTTTCTGCATTAGCTATAATAAGGTGAGCTACAGAATGATGGTGTGGATTAGTTGCAGAATCCCAAGCGTGGGATGTGGTTTCGTCATTTCTAGTATTTATTTTTCAGTTAATTTAAAGCAGCCTTTTGGAGGGCACTTATTGTACATTGGTATTATTCACATATTGCATATTGGTATTTTCTTGGTCTGTTTATGTCCACTTCTGAAATGCAGTCCTCTGGTGTTCAGTTTATTGAAAGTCTTAACAGCTGGCTTTGGAGTCATTAACGTCTAGTTATGAACATGCTGCACAGAAAATGTTAGCTTTGTGTTATGCTTTTATGTGGTTCCAAAGCACACTGCTGTTAAAGTGGCTATTAAGAAATGCTATGTTAACGGCAGACAAAATGCAAAAGCTATACCCCTGTAGTTTCTACCAGTTATTTACCTTGCTGTGTTGTCTTTTTCAATATATATTTGAGACAGTCATGGTCAATTAAGTAACTAGCATTTTCTTAAGGGAGAGGAAAAAATATTATTGCATCATCTCTATCATCGACTTCTATCTTTATATAGTCCTGGCATATTAGAGAACATAGAGGTGATATGGTCCCTGTCTCCTTTCAGTCTTGGTTTTGGTGTGGTAGCATGATAATTAAGATGATTTATTAAATTTCTTACCCATGAGATCCTAGAGTGATCTGCACCAGGGAAGGAGAACCTCCAGTGATATGCCTATAATTCAGCCCAGTACAGATCCCAAATAGTTGTGTAAGGCCATTTCCCCTAAACCACAGCCACCTGTGCACACCTGACACTTGTGACATCAGGTGTGGGTCAACTAAGGACACAGCTACAAAGGAACATCTGGGAGCTTAAATTGAGGTCCCAATTGTTCCTTTATAAGTGGGTCTTGCTGTCAGTACCAATCCGCTAATTGATGCAGACAGCGAGTCCCACCAAGCTGGAGTCCCCCTAATGTAGCAATGGGCTTCTCTGTCAGCGCCAATTTGTGCAGAATCTACACAAATGAAGCTGAGATTAAGGGAGCCTAGCACATGTGGCACTGCTGCATTTCCAGTGGCATCCTTCTTGTAGTAGAGCCACACATCCTCATGAAGCCACTTACCATTGCAGCTCCCTCAGAACCTCCTTCCAGGACACTATAGCATTACATGACATGTGCTGCTCAACAGGGTAATGTAAGCCAGTTTGCATGTTCCTAGTCTGCTATGCAAGGGCTTGGACGACACACTAGAGCAGCATTGCTAACAGCCAGGTCCAACACCAAGGCTACTTCCTTGTGCCCAATTCACTGAAGCATGCCTGGGCCTAGGCCATGGATGGGGAACCTGTGGTGTACCCTACCTCTCAACCATCTGGGATGGAAGGCAGTGGTTAGGGATGTGACCAAGCAAGCTAAACAAAGCCCCCACAAGTGTTACAATCTCCCTAGGGGTTTTAATAAACCTCTTCCCTGGAACTGCTTTCAAACTCCTGACTGGTCCCAACACGTACCTGAGCTGGAGAGAGGCAAGTGAATAAAAAATCATGTAGGCCAACTCATGCTGGGAAATCATTTCTCCCCTTATGCTTCTAAAAACTTTTCATCTCATTCTAGTGTTTCTGGCCTAAGATTCTTTTTCCCACCCATCTTTTTCTTTTCTCGTTTTTTTGTGATATGTCAAACAATTTTTGACACAATATTTCATTACAAGTTCTTTAATCCACTTCCCGCAAGCCAATTAGTTGAAGTAGTCTAATTGGTTTCTCATTAAATAAAAAAGAGCTCCTTCTGCTAATAATTTATTCAGACTTGTAAATCCAAAGCTGCTTTTATGCTCTTTCCTGTCCTCCAAGGATATCATGATCCCATAGCTCTCTTAACAATGAATGCCTGTCATCATAAGGGGCTATCCAGCTATGTGGGCTAGAGCTCTCATTGATTAGCTTTGGGCCTCCTGGAATGGAATATGAGTCTCTATAGATTGCACGTGCACACACACACACCACTCTGGCTCTTTACCTATTTCTTCTGTCAAGGATATATAAATCTGAACTTCTACTAGGAAAAACTTCATTCCTGTAATAATCTCCTGGCTTCATTTTGAATAGGAATGGGACTGAGCAGTTGGAATTCACTTGGCCTATGATGAAAACGATCTCCCCTCAAGAATCTCAGTCAGAGCTGATGCCTGACAGCTACCAACACGTGAAGACTGCTTTCATTAAGGGATGAGAACCCACCCCCCCGAATTCTTGGACTGCAACTCCTATTATCCCTGTCTGTTGGCCTGTTAACTGAGGCTGATAGAAGTTGGAGTCCTACAATGTCTGAAGGGCCGCAGGTTCCCCTTTACCTAAGTGCTCAGTGTCACTCTCTTGCTTTAGAGCAGGGATGGAGATCCTGCTGACCTATGGTCAGCTTCAGGCCCGGCTGATGGGAGCTCAGCAACATTTGGTGGGCCATGGGCTCCCATCCCTGGCAGGTTATTTCCCCTGGGAGCTGCTCCTGGGTCAGCAGACGATAAGAGTGAGGGAATGCTGTATGGATAATCCTGGTTCAATATGAAGGCAGTTGATTCCTGTACTAGTTTTGAGTGTGCCTTTGTTTGGAGACACTCTTATAAGCTGCTTTGAAGGTTTACTGGGGCTGCAAAATGGAATCTTCAAAGTAAATAAGCACATTCTCGTTTGTATTATATCTTCCATTGCTGTTCTGATTTTCCCACTGTTGCTACAGTCCTCAAGTCATTTGCTTCAAAGACCTCCCACTGAGGTCAGTGAGAGGTTAGTTTGGAATGAACAGTTGGAGGATTGTGACTCCACTACACCAGATTCTTCCCCTTGGCCAGAACTGTGCAAACTAGTATACGGAGACAGTAATCTGATATGCTGTTTTAACTTCTCGGGCTGCCTTTATTTCACATTTCAATAGCCGCAGGCTTTAATAGCCTATTGATTTCCATGGCACATATATGAAGGCCATATTCTTGATCTCTTAATCTCTGAGGGATAAGCACTTTCTTACCATTACACTCAAAGTATTAGTAGTTAGAATTACTTCATTGCTGCATGGTATAACTATAATAATTTCCTGTCTGTATTAAACTTTAAAAATATACACATTGCTTTGCAGATCAAGTGCCCCTGCCTGGTGGCTGGTTTTGCATTCACTTTATAATCCCCAGCTGTGGATATATTCTCCTGCCAAGGATTTTGTGTGCTTGTGTGTATGTCTGTGTGCGTTGCAGATATGGCTATAGAGATTGATAATTGGCAACACTAGAAACCTCCTTTGAACTGATGTACCAATGTGAGGGACAAACCACACAACCAGAGCTTGTCACCTCTCACACCTGGCCGATGCACAACCAATAGCTGACACTGTGAGTGCATTTACACAGGTGTCCTCCCCCCCCCCCCGGAAGCAAATAACACAGAAATGAGCATTAAACTTGCACTATATTCTTCTGTATTTCTGGAAATGGCCTCCACATTGAGTGAAAGTTCAGATATAATGCAAAAATCAGAAGTTAGAGAAATGTCAGGAAAACAGAATAAACTGCCATGTGAATGCATTCCATATTATCCTCCAGGTTAGGAACTGGCAAAGCTAGAGGATTTCCTGCAACTCACCACTGGAGGCAACAGATACTGCTTCTAGGCTCTACCCTCAAATCAAAGTGAGCCTGGGCAGGCCGGGTCGTCCTCTTATATACCTGCAGATAGAGACAAGGCATCTGACCCTCACCTGAATCTCATAGCTCTGCTGTAGCTGCCTCTGATTAGTTACCATTTAACTCTTGGGGAAAATAATTAGCATCACATGTCATGTGCATGGAGGTTGCCAAACCAATTAACCAACTAGAAGGATTACTGTTAATAACACCAGTTTTCCTATAACTTGATATTGCTGGATAGTTTTGATGAACTGCAAAAGCATTTTTAGTTTGCTTTCTGTTGCCACTCTGGAACTTTTCTTTATTAGTGCCACTTTGTCCTCAGTGCACGTGGGCTAAAAGATAAATGAAAAAGATAAATGAAATGTGGATAATTACTGATTTTTTCTCCCACAAGATGATGCGATAGCCACCAATTTGCATGGCTTTAAAAGAGGATTAGATAAATTTGTGGAGGATAAGACTATCAATGGCAACAAGTAACAATGGCTACCTCTACCTCCACTGTTGGATGTGATATGCCTTTGAATACTGTTAAGTTGTGGGTGAACATATCAGACAACACAGCGATTCTTCAAATAGCTCTTGTTTATTCACAGGCCAGGACAGAACTGAACTGAAGGGTTCAGTTAGCCTGCTTATATAGAGCTCCAGTACAACGTTACTGTAACAACTTTCTAAAACTATCCAATCACTGAACGTCACTTTCGATGCCTTATTTGCATAACTATCTACAGTATCCCCCTGCTGGCCCAGGGTGAGAACTTCAGTACATAACAAATACCAGTTGCTGGAATTCGCAAGTGAGGAGCTTGCTGTTGTCCTCCTGGGATTCCCATAGGCATCTGTTTGGCCACTGTGAGAACAGAATGCTGAACTGGATGGTCCTGTGATCCAGCAAGGCTTTTCTTCAGTTCTTATGAAAGCCTTCATATGGAAAGACAGCAGCCAAGGAGGAGCTCTGATACCACTTCATAGCGATCACCAACCCTACTGCCGAAGTAAAAAGTCAGTGTTGCTCATGCTCGCTCATTGATGAGGTCAAGCACTGCTGCTGCTTTAAAATCCCATGTCCTCTAAATTTTCATGTACATCACAGTAACACAAGAGCTGATATGTACCAAGTCAGACCACTTAGCTCAGCAGCTCTCCAAGGTTTCAGACCCAAGTCCTATACAGGACCTTCTGCATGCCAAACAGGTGCTCTGCCACTGAACTACAATCCTCCGCAGGAGAAGTGTATCAGGGGGCTGATGGTGCCACAGGCAAAATTGTAAGTGACATGCAAGGCTAGGTTTCATCAAGTGGCACTAGTAAAGGTGTTGTAGTTAGGAATCCATTCCTCAACTGCTAATATTTTGGTGGTGCTTATACTTTTGAGCACTGGTTTCAGGCTGATGTTTTATGAGAGAGAGAGAGAGAGAGAGAGAGAGAGAGAAATTGCCCCAGGGACTGAGAAAGAGGGGGAATAGGGAGGTCAGCCAGTCATTCTGTTGCCCTGTTGGGGGCATGTGGATGATGTGAGAGCACAAGTGCATCCTATATTCTTCAACTGAAATAAAAATTTAGCTTGTGGAACCTAAAAGCCAGTCTCTTGTTTATATGTATTGGAACTATTACTGTTACCACCTGCAGGCAAAGAAATTTCGCAAACCCCTGGCCACAGCGTGCCAATTACTGCTCCCTGTACATCACTCTATTCAGGACCTCTTGAACAATGGGGAATGAATCCCAATCTCGCTATCAGTATTGCAGTGGGGTTTTCTAAATGCTGCAGCCCAGCTAGTCTCAAGAGCAGGAAAATATTAGCTGAACAAGACCCACTGGGTTGAGAGTCTGGAGAAGAGGTCAGGTCACTTGCTTTTCTGCCTTTGCCTCGACATTCCCATAAACCTTAAAGCTGTCTTCTGTGTCTGGCAGTGTGAATGTGACAAATAGTGAGATGAAAGTCTCGTATCATAGACAAGCAATTCCTCTCTAAGCTAAATCACATTGACAGTTGTTCCCCTATGTTGACAGTGTGATCTTGCACATATCTACTCAGAAATAAGCCCTGCTGTTTTTAATGGAACTTAACCCAATAGTATTGCAGTATGAGGGTATCCAGTCATTTCCACATACAGCAACCTTTTGCTGTCTAATAGGACATCAATGAACTTCCACAGTACTTTGATGTGATCTTCCCAGTTCTCTTGATCAACCATGTAACTGGTACCCATGAAGCTATAGCATCCTAGCCAGACAGGTATGGTCTGCAATGATCATGTTTGGAGTAGTGAGTCATCATGCCTTGCATACTCAGGGCTGCTTCGTACATAGGCAATCCTCAATTGAATGGCAACATCAAACAAAAATAGAATATGTAGAAGTATGTATTGTGGACTAATTTTGTACTCATTGAGGGACTATTACTTTAGTGTAGAACAGCGTGAAGGCAATTTAGAGTTGATTTTGTTAATGTATTAGTGATTACCAATTCCTGATCTAAAGAGCTCTTATGTACAGCCATACCTCATGTTACATTTGCTTCATGTTATGTTTTTTCAGGTTGTGTCCCACGGCGACCCGGAAGTACCGGAAAGGGTTACTTCCGGGTTTCACTGCTCACGCATGCGCAGTGGCGCAAAAATCACGCTTTGTGCGTGCGCACAAGTGCCAAATCACGTCATTCACCTGCGTAGATAAGGCGCTTCAGGTTGTGGGCTTTTCACGTTGCGAACTGGCCTCCAGAACAGATCCTGTTCACAACCAGAGGTACCACTGTATTTCTTATGAGCAGTTTGAGTGTAGGTGTAGACTGGGTGCAACCTTCTCTACCCCTGTGGCAACGTCATAAGAGAATCAGTAACTGAGGGTCTAGCTACATTTTATGCTTAATGCTTCATATGCAGATACACCTCATGTTTTTCTTAAATTAATTACAGCTGTGCAACATGTGGGAAGGGAAAGGCTCCCTCCCCATGCTATGACCCCCCGCAAAAAAACGAAACCTCCTCCATCAGTGGTAACCTTGTAGCTGCATAGGGGCAGTGGTTGTGGGGGGTGGGATAAATCTCCCCCCCCCCCTGCAATCCTGAAAGCAATCTCTTCACAGGTGTAATTAATTCACGAGAGAGAGAGAGAGAGAGAGAGAGAGAGAGAGAGCTGTAGCTGCATGCTGTGCAATAAGCATGTGACATGTAATTTGACCCTCACAAATCCTTTCCTTTGTCATGCATATGTTGACCTTTCAGGAACCCTTTTTAGGCCTTGAGTGGTGGATTCATTTGCACCCTAGTTGGTACCTTAGCACCAGAGGAAATGTAGTATGAAAAATAGGCACAGCACATCCTGCAATCACTTTGGTGTTTGTGAATATCAAAGCCTTGATAACCTTTTTAAGTCAATTCCAGCTGTATGTAGTTTTTAAGGAATAAACATCCTTTAACGGAATAAAACTCTGTGCAGATGTTTTTTGAATGCATCATGAATGCCTGAATGTTTGTGAAGAATTTCCTGTGCAGCGGGGGGAACCCAGCAATTTGGCACCAATGTCTCTACAGGGATATTTATTGGGCTGAAACATTGAGTTCTCTTTAGCAATAAATTCCTTGGGGTGAGGAAGACACTGCAATCATTCTTGTGATTGAAGGATTTTCCTTCCAAACTCAAGGCCATGACCAATAGTTCTGCATTTCCTCAAGCCCTTCCTCCCACCACCTTCAGCAAAAAATACCATGGGACATGAAACTCCACAATCATTTCTTGACTGAAGCCAAAGTTGGTCTTATGTGAATAGTTTGCACAGATTCTAAGTACCTATGAAAAAAAATCTTCAATTGGAATTTTTTAAAAAAAGAAATATTAGTATCATGAGACCTCTAATCATGTTTGTACAAAACACTATGAATTCCACTTTAAACAGTATTGTTATGAGTTGGGGGGGGGAGTATTTGAGATCTTTCTCACTTCTGGATCAAGCAAGGGTTAAGATATAAGCCAAGCTAGCTTCCTCTGTTAAGGATTGGTGATGAGCCTGGGTGATGAGCCATTAAGAGAACAAAGGAAAGGAAAATGTGTTCTTTGCAAGATGACAGATGGGTGAGGACCCTCCGTCAACTCAAGGGTAGTGAGAACGACAAAGCCTGAGTTGAGAGTTTGTAATGATGTGACCTAGAACTAAGGAAGCAGCAAGTTGGACAGAGGGGCAGAGAGCAATGTTAAATTTCTTTTTGAATCCAAGGCTGCTGCTATGAGAGAAACAATGCTTTTTGGGGGTGTTAATGCTGTAAACCCCTCCATCATAGGCTCAGGTTGTATATATGTATAAATAAGCCATATGTCCTAAAGACACCACACACTCTGCTGTGCCTTATTCCAAAAGGAAACATGAACCCTGAGTAAGTGCCTGGAGCCCCTGGAATCAGAGATTGAGGTGGCATGCTACAGTATATAGGTTTTTATAGGTGTTGGGCAGGAATATGAAGGCATTTACTTTGAGTGTATTTAACGAAGAGCTGAAGTACTGACTGAGGTGGTGAAACCATCAACCACTTTTCGAATGCTTTGACAAGTTAGTGTCAAAGAGTGAGAGTGCAGTTTACTGCTTTCTTGGGGATTACTTTGATATGTACGGTTAGGCCAGGAGGTTGTAAGACAATTAAGTAGTCTGTATTTTTTACTAGCTTAATCAATAAACCTCAAGTTTTATGAAATGCTAGCTTATTCTGTACAACTGTAGTCCTCCCCCAAGCCTTTATCCATTTAGAGTTATATTACTCCAGCGAAGGAGTATGTATAACTTAATTCAGGAGAAAAGTGTGGACTTTTATGCAGTTACAATTAACAATCCAACTGGCAGTGTCTTTTTGTCTTAGGAACAGTCATGTCAGGAGTAGCCACTCTGAGCACTGATCAGCTTTGCTAACTGATTTAATGACTACCCATGGCACCATCCTTTTCAGTCTTTGCCAATGGGAGGAACAGCACATTTTAAACTTATGGTTTGTAAATAGAACAAGGGGACGTGTCTGGAACTTGATGAACCAGGATGATAAGTGCCCAAAAGCACAGCTGGTTTGGAGCAAACACTTAACAAGTCATTGATCAAACCATAATACTAGAGGAGACTTTATAATGCACTTTATTGTACAGTACTGCATAGATTTTGCCAAAAACTATAAACAGAGGCTACTGTGTTTCAAATTCAAGAGTGCTACAAAGTCAGTTATAAGGTATGATTGAATGATTTGTTTAAACTTTCTGATCATGCCCTCTTTGCAATAAAACCACTATTTCAAGCAAGTATACTATAGAACTGTAAGTAAACTAAGCGGCTTAGGCGGATTATAGGGGAATCCCCACTTTGATGGGGATTCTGTACCTGGACACGTGAAAGTGGGGATTCCCCTGTTCCACTCCTGCCCAGTTCTGCCCCCGCCCCATTTCAGCACCAAAAATGGAGCATGTGTTGATTGCACACAGGTGGGGAGATACCTGTACATCTGTTTCAGCCCAGGTTTGCATCAGAAGTCTTGAGGGTTGGAGTAGAATGAGAAAGAAGCAAGAATTATTCACCCCAAGGGTAAAACCAAATGCACACATGATTAAAATGATTAAAAAATAAATACCCTGAAATAAACCAGGACATTTTTCAAATAGTTTTGTAGCTCGTGTAATTTTCTGGCATTAAGGCAAAACAGCGCATTTCCCCTCTCTGGCTTTTACCTTTTTGTTCCCTTGGGATACTGAATATTCTGTGCAGCTCTACTTGACTGATACATTTAATCAAAATTTATACAGATGAAAAATGAAAGGCATGAACAAAATAAATTCTAAATGCAAACGAAGACTAACAGGCTCTTCTCAGATACATTGGAAGACTTAGTTATGTGCAGTCTGCAGTCTGTAAGATATTTGAGACCAAACAGCTTAAATTCTGGCTTGATGAATTTTGCGTTACGCGGTAATTGCAAAATGCTAAACTGGTTTTTCTCTTCTTCTTTATGAATTTCAGTGCAATAAACATTTTTGCTAAGACTAACTTATATGAAACATGGAGATATAATACTATGGGGGTTGTGGGATGTACTCTAGATACACCATAATGACACAACAAACATCTTGCTAACAGCAAGGGATGCATGAAATGTGTTCCTTTACTTCTCTGGAGCTTTCTACTTTTCTGCCATACAGTCTTGGATATCTGTCGGAATTCCGTGGAATGTATTGGATAAACTTGCTTTTAGGAACTGTGCACATTAATTGGATAAGCATTCAAATTAGATGTTGCCTTTTGCATTCAATAAGATAGATGTGAATTCCCATTTTTTAACAGCCAGATACCATGCACAAAGCTTTGTGCATCCAGTCCCCTTCCTCCTTCCCCCTACAAAGGAAACTAAACCAAATTGGATTGAACAGAATGTGGTTTGGGGGGAGAATAGGCCATACCAGTGGAACTATGATTTCTGGTTTGGGAATCAAAGCTGCCAAATTACTATAGTATCTTTAACACACTACTTAAACAAAGCAAGGTCACTCTTTTTCTCAATTCACGTTGAATATGGTTTGGGGGGAAATCCATTAGAATACAGTGGTGCCTCGCAAGATGAAATTAATTCGTTCCGTGAATTTTTTCATCTAGTGAATTTTTCGTCTTGTGAAGCACGAAATCCCATAGGAATGCATTGAAAATCAATTAATGCATTCCTATGGTCAAAAAAAGTCCAAACAAAGCCAAATTTGGTACAACAAGAGTTTATTAAGTGCTCTTTAAAGTCACACATACTGTAAAGAGCATTTCAAAATTCAAACCCAGAATTTTTTTAAAAAAACAGCAGAGTTGCCCAATGGTCACAGAAAATCATAAAAATGCAGAGAAAAAAAACAAGCTTCCAGATTCTTGCAAACCCTTCCCCAACTGTTCCCCCAGCCACCCAGCACACAGAAATTCAAATCCAGAAATTCTTTTTAAAAACAGCAGAGTAGCCCAGTGGTCACAGAAAATCATAAAAATGCAGAAAAAAAAACAAGCTTCCAGATTCTTGCAAACCCCTCCCCAACACCAAGTCCTTGAATTCCAAACACCCCAACCCAAAATCCAACCCCCCCAAAAAAAGTTTTAAAAGCTTAACTTACCAAATGGCTCCAAAAGAAGTTTTGGAAAAGCTTCAAAAATCACCAAAGTCTTTAAAAACCTCAAAAAAGGCTACTATGTACACTGCGTTCTATGAGTTGCTCCTCGAAGTCAAGTCGCAACTGTATTAACGGTGTTAAGAAAAAGGAAACAAACATGCAAGACATTTTCGTCTTGCAAAGCAAGCCCATAGGGAAATTCGTCTTGCGAAGCAGCTCAAAAAACGGAAAACCCTTTCATCTAGCGAGTTTTCCGTCTTGCGAGGCATTCGTCTTGCGGGGCACCACTGTACAGTATTTCATCAGAAACAACAGGATAGATACAGGATACATATGGATTGTGACTAATGTCTACACACTGCTTCCCAAGCCAGCAATGGGTGTGCAGGTTTAATTTAAATGGAAGTAATGTTCAGGAGGCCTCTCGGAAGTGGTTGTAAAAGGCAAATTTATACAAGCTGCTTTTATTTTTCCAGTGTAATGCATAATCGGAACAATCAGTGGATACTTTTGTATTCATGAACACACACACAACGATTCAGCATGCAGTAGCCAGAGTTGCAATTGTTATATGCACTGCCCCATCAGATAGTCTGCAATAGTGTCAAAGAGCTGCTTGGGGCAGGGGAGGAGTGAGCACAGGCCAAATTAGCATCATTACCAGGGTGGAAGTGGGGTATATGTTTGGAGCAGGAGAGGATACTGATGCACAGCACCTATTTGTGCATGCAGTTCCTTATCAAGCTAGGGATATATTCTGAGAGGCCTCCAAAGGATTGAAACAACCACTGCAAAAATGTATGATTACAATCTTCTGTCTTTGTGTTGATAATAGCATTGAATGTTGGAACAGAGGGTTGGCACTGCCAAGATTACAGGGTGATTAAGGGATTGAAGGACTGGAGAGAAGGGAAAGCACCAAAAGTCGGTGTGTCATATTGTGAAACTACAACCCTAGATAGATTATTAGGAATTAAGCTTTCTGAACTCAGCTGACCTTTGACCCTTCTAAGAGTTGTTGGTTTGGGTAGTATGTTTATGATTTGTGTGATTTATCCCCAAATTAAACTTACCTGCGCAAACTACTTCTGAGTCAGGAATTTGCTGTTACTGCCTTGTTATGACTAGGTAGTCATGGAGGCAGGAGAAATGGACCTCTGTAATTCATAAAGTTTATTTTAAAAGCTGACAAAATTATCTCAATTTGATGGCCTATATTTCACAATAATTCCATCTTGTTGAGGCATTGTTTACTTTTTGATGCTTTTGCAAGCACTATTCCTGCTATTGTAAGTGGGCTGTATCCAGTGTTAGTCATCATCAAAACAGCTCCATTGAAATTACTAGAGATGACTAAGTTAGGTTCCATTGATTGCAGTGGTTTTAGTTGGTTACAACCCAGTATGTTTAAGGCTGCCATTTCCTTTTCCAATGATGCACAGTCTTGAACTACATGAATTTAAGAGGCATGCCAGTGGTTCTATTTTAAGTTGAAATATTCCATTAATTATTTCCAACACCATCCTTCAATATCTAACTGTACTTTTAAATTTTCGTTTCTCTTTGACCTCACTGCTTACATTCCCAGGGAGTATACATGTCACCTGCCAACTGAGTATACAACTTCATGCATCTGATGAAATATACTCCAGTCCATAAAATCCTGTACCATAATAAATGTGTCAGTTTTCAAAGTGCCACAAGAGACATAGTGCAGCATTTGGTCAACTTGGACTAACATAGCTTTCAACACCTTTTTTCCTCCTTCCTCTCCTACCAGTGAGTAATTTCCACGACTTTCAATGCTGTTAGTAGGTAAATTGTGCAATCCCATAGTTATGTTTTATATTCTCATTATAAATGCTCAGGCCAAGCTGTTTGTGTTCTAGGTACCGCAGAGATGTGTGTGACCAAAGGTCTACTTTTGGCTTAGCCCTACTCCTGTGCAGTTTAGTACCAAATAAATGTATCCATTAATTGCTTCGATTCCATCAACAGTCTTGCCCTCTGGCTGCAGAAACTGCATGGCAAACAGATAAATCCAGTTTTGTTCAGGAAATTTGACTAGGGGGGCTCAGAACAATTATATGGTCAATTTAAATCAAACATGATTGTCTCAAACATCATTACCTTGCAAGGGCTTTAAAACTAAACATTTGAGCCCTGAACTGACAGCAAGGGTCCCTGTTAGCTTAAAGGCTTGTTTAATCTGACTAATCTTTCTTCCTTTCATTGTAAATTGAGACCAATGTAGAAGAAACAAAGAGAAATGCTACAAATGTCAATGGGCACAATCCTGCCAAAGTCAAGCACTTTTACATTGATTTTTGCTGGGGAGATTCAAGCTCAAGCTTAAATCCCCCACTGAACTCAATCAGACTTAAAAGTGGTTAACTTTGGCTGAATTTCCCCCAAACATTATTTTTCAGGGCCTGCATGGTCACTTTGGTTCTACCATCCCACTTTCCCTCTGTGCCTGCCTACCTGTGAGGAAATCCCAAAGTTGTGCTATTAAAGAAATTCCAGCTCCGTTCTGCATTAACATCCTGGACCAATACTCCCTATTAGTTTAATTAACCACAAGCCTATATATTGTTGTTAGGGCTCCTCTGTTTGCCATTCCTCTTTCCCCCAGAGAACCTGATATTTAGTGCTGCATTGGAACAAACGGTAAATGGGTTTTCTTCGGGGAAAAGCAGTGGGGCAAGGGCAAACCCACTTGGACCCATGTGTTCTAGGCAGGGGGCAAGTGGAAGTGTGGATGAGTCCTTAGTCTCTCACTACAGACATTGCGTCTCTCTCTTTCGACTTTCTGCTGCTGACGTCTCTGGCACCTGTATGCCATCTAGTACCATGCCTTTCATTAGTTATTTTGCCTGACCAATAGAAATATGGGTTCCTGAGCAAAATCCCTCTCATGGATGACAAAGAAGTATCCTTTCCTGGCTCTGACTACTAGCTACTACTGCCACTATCCTGTTCATCCCTCACACCTCGGAGTAGGTATGTTCCCCTTCCCCCAAGACTAGGAGTTATTTTAGTTACAGAGATGAAGGAACAGCCAGCTCACACTCTTTCCTCTCCAGGAAGCAAGGCAACTTGCTTTCCTCGCTTTCTTTGTGCTGTGTATGCATATGTCTGGACCATAAAGAAGGCTGATCGCCAAAGAATTGATGCTTTTGAATTATGGTGCTGGAGGAGACTCTTGAGAGTCTCATGGACTGCAAGAAGATCAAACGCATCCATTCTGAAGGAAATTAGCCCTGAGTGCTCACTGGAAGGACAGATCGTGAAGCTGAGGCTCCAATATTTTGGCCACCTCATGAGAAGAGAAGACTCCCTGGAAAAGACTCTGATGTTGGGAAAGATGGAGGGCACAAGGAGAAGGGGACGACAGAGGATGAGATGGTTGGACAGTGTTCTCGAAGCTACAAACATGAGTCTGACCAGACTGCGGGAGGCAGTGGAGGACAGGAGGGCCTGGCATGCTTTGGTCCATGGGGTCACGAAGAGTCGGACACGACTAAATGACTAAACAACAACATGCATATGTAGAAACCTTTGATACAGGTCTGTAATGTAGCTAACTGTAGAAAGGTAAGATTTGCATTGGTTGCTCTGCCCACTTTTACTTCTGGCCCCACTCACTTTTGCCTTTGGCTCTGTCTGCCACTGTCATACAGCCCTTTGAAAGTTGCCCTTAGGGAATGTGGCCTTTGAATGGGAAAAGTTTATGCACCTCTGGGATACAGGGACCATATTGATATTTCTGGAGTTCTGTTTCCAGGTCCTTGGGCACAGCCAATCACAAGAGTTGCACCTACCTAGGGAAATTACTTTAACAGCTCTTGTTAAGCTGTCACAGTGTTAACTACTACTTGAGTTCTTCAGTTTCTCTGAGAGACAGCAAGGTTTGCTCAGTTTGTGTGTCAGACTTGGTTGAGGGGAAACATAGTCTCCCCACTCTGACAAGATGGAGGACTAGTGAAGATGGATATTTTACAGAGGCATTGCTGTGAAAGGTTGGGTTACAGTCAGTTGGTCATATCAGTGAGCAGAAGAAGAAGAAGAAGAAGGAGAAGAAGGAGAAGAAGAAGAGTTTGGATTTGATATCCCGCCTTTCACTCCCTTTAAGGAGTCTCAAAGCGGCTAACAATCTCCTTTCCCTTCCTCCCCCACAACAAACACTCTGTGAGGTGAGTGGGGCTGAGAGACTTCAAAGAAGTGTGACCGGCCCAAGGTCACCCAGCAGCTGCATGTGGAGGAGCGGAGACGTGAACCCGGTTCCCCAGATTATGAGACTATCGCTCTTAACCACTATCCCCAGATTACGAGACTATCGCTCTTAACCACTACACCACACATTCCCTCTGAGAAGTTCCTGGGTAATGCCCGCATTCACTTGTTCTTGATGCAAATGTTGGGTCCCCTCCCATCTGCTTTTTATGCTACAGATAAACCCTTTTTGTCATCCAGTCTCTCTCCCACATGCTTTAGTTCCTGAGTCCTTCTGTTAATTCTTCCTGTATTTTATTGGAATGAACTTATTTCCTTCCTTGCAGCTGCAGCTCCTCACCCCACCTGCCACATATTTTCCTGAGTGCTACCAAACTGCTCTTTAAGCTTACTTTGTCTTTCACCAGCAAAGGCTATCTTTTCTTTATGATCATATTCCAAGGATAATAATGATTATGATGCTACTCATGTAGGCTAAAAGTGTTCAAAAGATTTCACATACATTACCTTGCTACTCTTTCCTACTGAGCTGGCTACTGATACCATATCTGAATTGGGAGGAGGGTGTTTAAGGCTAAAAAACCCCAGTGGGGGGTTTAGGCTGCTGTAATACATTTGTGGCTGAAATGAGTCAGGGTCTTCCCAGCTCACAGCTCCCACTTTTAGCCATTATTCTGTGCTACACCATCTTTCAGTAACAAGTAACCAGCAAACTGGCATATCAAGTCATCAAACTCAGTAACTTTTCTACATCACATTTAGTTTCTGTATTCTCCAATCTTGTTTTATACTGCTCACAAAATAAACTTCATTTCTTAAATGCACTTCCAAAGCACAGATCTCATCTCTCCTAAATCGAGCTAGCTGACATTTTTGCACAGACACAAATAAGTGTAAATGGAGATTTACAAAAGGTATATATGCTTGAGACCAGTTTCCATGTTGCACCTTATTTTTTCATTCTGTTCTTCCAAAGATGACTTATTATTAGGCAGTATTCACCTAACAAACCTCATCAGCGCACAAGAGTTTCCACTTGTGCAACGGGGCTTTCCCCTCTCTCCTCCCCGTTTGCCGCCCCCACTGGAGAATTGTTCCATCTGTCAAGCTGAAATACTTGCATAGGCTGAACATTTATAATAGTGTGACACTTACTTCCATCCATGCTTTATGTTCAAATGTTAAATTAAGTAAACTTAGCTAATTCAATTTTTGATTATGAATTCTTTAATGATAAAGAAACACACAGTGCCAGTTGGGTTGGAAAGACCGGAGTAGATGCAGTAGTATTTTATTTATTAAATTTATATCCTGCCCTGCCTCCCAAAGGAATCCAGGGCAACAAATAACAAGTGCTAAAACAATGGAAAACATCATAACCAGTTCCAGTATAGATGTAGATACCCCCTAGGGCCTAGGATCAGACCATATCTAAGTAGGTCCCATGCTGCTGCATTCACTCTCATGTTTCTCCTTTTTTCTCTATGTATGGAGGAGACCCTCCTGACTGAAAAGCCCAACTTCCAATTCTTAGTTTTCTTCTCTTTTATCATTGTTGCATTGTCTTGAATGTTCTGCAGTTAATTTACATCAGTGTGGAGAAAATGCAGAGCTGGTGCTGGAGAACAAAATCCCTCATTTGAGTGAGTTAGAGCTTAATCCACATGTGCTGAATTGAAATGCACCACTGGGAGCTCCATCCATAGCAGGCAAGTTGTCGTTACATCCATCTTTGTTCTGTCTGTCGCACAGTGAGATAAAATACAGACGCCTGATCCTGGGTCAGAAATTGACTTCATCTTTGAAATGCAAGTAGAAAGGTGTTCATCATTCCGTCCCTGTCCCCAAAATTGCTTCATTCACAAGAACTCTGATATCACAAAGATTGCCTGCCCTTCAGTTAGGCAATCACTTCTGATGCCTCAGTTCAATCCATTATATTTACCATTTGCCATTTGCTTCCTTCATTTTTCTGCCCAGATGCTTAAAACATGCTGACACAACGAAATCCAAGGCATTAATAAATCAAGAAACTCTACATGTCTAAGGTGCTTTTCAATGAGGTCAAACCCTTATTAACTACAAGAGTTCTGCAGGGAATAAGGCATTCGTTTGCAATGCATTATCTGGGCTCTTCATAGGTAGTTCACCCTAACCTTTCCAAGAAAGTGAAAAACAATTAAAGCTGAATTACTTCATTCATAATTCAGAGTGCTTGGGTGAGGGCTTCATTTATTAAGGACATTGTGGAGAGTCTCTCAGATCTACTTATAAAAATGGATCACAGTTTGAGACCTGTGACCAGCCCTTGGTTGCATACTCTTTTCAGGCTTCCAAGTGCTTTTCAGTTTCTGCTCCTACAGCTCTAGCACAGCCTGAAGTAAGAAGAGGTGCCCTGAGGTCTCTACTAAAACAGAAACTGTGTTGCGCCTGATGGCTAGTTCCCAACTCCATTCATACAGGACTAATCTGGACCCCCCAAAATTATTGTATCTGTTCCAGGAGGAGATGGGACCTAATCCTAATCTAAACCACAGATAGGAAAGTTGTGGCCCTTCAGATGATGTTGGACAGTTCCCATCTGTGTGGACCATCGGCCATGATGGCTGGGACAGATGGGAGTACTAACTATGGAGTGTAACATCCCCTGGCAGGTTATATGTTCCCCACCATCAAATCAAGCAAACAAACAGAGGTGTTGGTGGGTTACTGTTTCCAGCATCCAGATTCCACATAGTTCAATTACGTGGGAGGAAACTGAATATCCACATGGAATTTATTGAATTACTTTTTCAATCAATAGCTGTTAAACATAAATACTAAGAATAAAATCTCCATGTTTAGGGACAGTATCCTAGAGACAACATTACATCTTGGCTGTGGGCTTCCAAAGGATATCTGTCTGACTATAGCTGGAGTCATGCTAGACTAGCCTTCCCCAAGCTGATGTTTTAAACTACAGCTCCCATAATCCCTAACCAGCAAGAAACATGGTCAGAGATTATGGGAATTGGAGCCAGACAGCTTTGGGAGGACACCAGGTTACCAGAGGCTGAGCTAGATGGATCTCTGGTCTGATCTAGGCAATATCTATATTCTTAAATATACATAATGTATATATCTCAGTACAAAATGATTATAACCCTCAACCCAAGTCTGTACATTTAGGTGGTAGCAAATTTTTGATAGTATAACCTTTAGTAAGTAATTGTTTTGAATCAATTACTTGCTGTTACTTGTACACGGCCTAGCTTCAGTGTTAAAGTGCAATATCTAACAAAAATAATGTCTTCAAAAACCTGTCAGAACTACATAATGGATCTTAAGGGCCCAGCAGCTTTATTTTCTTCAGTAGTCAGTACATTTTCATTAGCTGGTTCTCTGTTTCTGAAGATCTTTCTGCTCAGGGGCAGAGTTTAGTATCTCTATTAGCTGTTCCTCATCTCTTCCTTCCAGTGCTTCTTCAAATGGTGAAATGAGCAAGCCGCTAAGCAGAAATTACTTCAATAAATGTATTTTATCATTCATGTATATCAACACAAATGTGAAGATTAATTAGGGTTTTGCATTAGGTGACCCTCAGCGTCCTTTCCATCTCTACAATTTTATGATTCTATACTCAGATCATATCAGCCAATCTGGTAGGATAATACTAGGAATATATCCAAAACAACAACAACAACAACAAATTATTTCAGTTTTTTCAGCACCAGTAGTTGGTGCATAAACTTGGATTACTGTGATGTTGAAAGGTCTGCCTTGGATTTCTGAGGATTTTCTCCCAATCTTTATAAGCTTCTTTAATATGTGAATCTAAGCAAGGAAGCATGAACACAAGGAAAATGCACAGGTGTGCAGTAATGGTGCACACTTTGCACACAAATTCTGATTGCATACTGTGTGGCAGCTCTAAATTGTCCCTTTAAAAAGCCTTTGGCCTTTATTACATTATATTAGTTATTAGGTGTGCAGTGCCTTTTGTTAGTGGCTCATGAATTGCTGAAGTGTGCTTCAGTGACTGTGTGATCCCACAGCAGATTTGAAAAATGAGCTCAGCAATTTCCAAATATCTCAGAGGAGCTCTGTATAACCCTTGTACCCCTATAATCATTACCTTGGGATAGCACTCCTGTGGAAAGCAATTCCAGTGTTAGCAAATTAGTCATCTGTGGGGCGCTCAGTGGCTGTTAAAGAACAGCCCACTTCTGAATTCAGGCTCTCTTATGGTATATTCAGAAGACAGACTTCTCACATTGCTAGACCTGATTTCCATAAGCAGTGATTATCCTTCAGAGATTATGTACCATCAGCAATACACCCCTGGACAATGAACAATACAAGTCCCCCTCCAAGCATTTTAATATTTCACTCTGTACTTTGAGATAATTTTGAGTTATGATAGTGTCTTCTTGTTTCACCAATGCCGCTGAACTCACATCTTACACAAGGGTTACGCTCCACAGATGGCACGTAAAGCTGAACTAATGTTCCAAGGGGTATCCCTTGGAAGCGCCATGTGAGTCATCTGCATGTAGAGAATATCTAGGATAGTTTAATAGGCCTAATAGCAGCTTTTACACAAACAGTGTGACAAATGGGTAGATGTAAATAGCACATTGTTCCAATAAGAAATGCAAGTGTCTGTGCTTTGGTAAGATGAATTAACAGCATCATTAATACTTAAGGAATCTCTAGCCAACAGTGTCCAAAGGGACCTGTAGGTTGTCCTTGACCATAGATGCCCATTCCCTGGAGCCTTGGGTGTCCGAGCACCCACAAAATTCCCTATGAAGGGGCTGGGCACCCACAAATTTGGTGCCAGGGCCATGCATGCTGTATCGCACCCATGGGCCCGGGCACCCACAGTTGCAGGGCCAAGCAGGCATTCCAGTCCTTGACAATAATAGCCAACCTCGTCCCCCTGAATCTGAAGGATGAAGGGTGGCTACAACTGAGAGATCCTTGTCCGTAGTACTTCTTCCCCCACAATTCTGTTTAAACCTAATTGTGTAAGATAAGGTAAAGGTAAAGGATTCCTGGACAGTTAAGTTCAGTCAAGGGCAACTATGGGGTGTGGTGCTCATCTCCCTTTTCAGGCCGAGGGAGTTGGCATTTGTCCACAGACAACTTTCCGGGTCAGGTGGCCAGCATGACTAAATCATTTCTGCTGCACCAGAACACCGTGATGGAAGCCAGAGCACACGAAAATGCCGTTTACCTTCCCACCACAGCAGTACCTATTTATCTACTTGCACTGGTGTGCTTTCAAACAGCTAGGTTGGTAGAAGGTGGGGCAGAGCAATGGAAGCTCACCCCATTGCACAGATTCAAACTGCTGACCTTCCAGTCAGCAAGCCCAAGAGGCTCAATGGTTTTGACCACGGCACCACGCACTCCCTCTAATTGTGTATGCTGCCTAGAAACTCATGTTATAAGGTGATTGGAAAATGCAAATAATAAATAAAATATTTTTTGTTAGAAAAGTTACTGAGATTGTGCATGTGAAATGTTTTGAAGACCTAAAGGCACACTACGAATGCTGGGCTATGTAAGAAATTGTGGGCACAAAATGTTGGGTGGTGGGACTCCTATAATTGAGATGTGAGTGGCTCACCAAGTAAAATAGAGTGGAGAGTGGCAGCAATTGCCTCCCAGCCAATTTGGTTTTCCTCTTGGTGTGTCTGTAAAGTCCTGACTGGCTACCACTGCACCCCTCCCTCTTCTGGTATGCAGCAGCAATGCTGCTGCTGAGAGACTACTGAGAGCCTGTCTTACATTCAGAGGAATGTCAAGAGCGATCACCCACTGGGCATGTTGGAATAATTTGAAGCCCATCAAACTATGAATAAATAAATCTCCATTATGTACCCCCCCTACCTTCGTCATCCTCCTTCACAGCCTGTGCCAAAGAGTGGTGACCTTTGGGGTCAAGGTACTGTAAGTTTTCCTTCTGTTTTGTGATCCCACATTATGGTGTGAGCCAACTGATTCACGCCATAGGGCGGGACACAAAAAACCCCACCCTTTTGGTTCTGTGCTCTGGCATGGCCAGAGCATGAAACCAAAATGGGATGTCAGGGATTAGGATCAGAAGTCAGGGCAGCTTCTGTCAATCTGGAATGTCCCACTTAAAATGGGACAGTTGTGCAGGATGACTTTTCTTGGCCTACCAAGGCTGCTACTGTGAGAGGAAGAAACCATGACGCTATCAAATTTTATTGCACTCTGCATTTGTTTGTCCTATCGTGATAAAATTTCATATTTTTTGTGACCAAACATACTTTATTCTTTACTAATAAAGTGCAGAGATCAATGAGTCCTGCTGAGTAAATACGAGAAAGAGCAGCAGGGTCACTTGCTATCGTCTTATTTTGATGATAATTTATTATTCACTTAATTAGCTAAATGGTTTTCTTGAGCCAATAGGGAGTAATTTGAAAAATATTCATACTCGTATATTTCAATAGGTCATTTGTAGCAATCAAATAATGAAACTGAACTTCCTTTATTGGAAATGAAGTGTATTAAAAGTAAATCCACAGATCAAAGGCCAAACCAAAATGTATTGGCAAAGTGAAGAGAATGGATGTAGCACTCAGAAGATGAATATGATAATTCCTCCATGGTTTGTCTGTGTTTGCATGTTTGTTTGTTATAAGTATTTTTAAACCGCCCTTCTACCATGTGTCTGCGATAGTATACAAACCAAATAAGAATGTAATAATAATAGTAATAATCATAATATTTTGAAATTATACTCTACTTGATATACTGAGAGCTTAGAAAATGTGGGGATTCTGTGACTGGGAGAAACTGGTTTGCTTGTGGGTTTTTCCTGTGGAGTCATTAATAAATGTATTTTGGAAAGAGAAGAGTATTCTAATCATATTGTGCAGCTACCGTTCAGGGAGTAGCACAGGGAGTAAATGCTTGCTAATGCATTTTGTATTCTTGGCAGTTCCCACAGGATTGCACTATGGGGTTAACGCCAGATAAGCTGTGCAAACAAATTGCTCTGCTTTACCAAACTGGTCAGAGGTGGTAGGGGGTTATTCTTCAGGCAGTGAAAAATTAGAGAAGTTATATTCAGTGAGAGAGGCAAGCATGAGACATTATAACAATCCCTTGCTTTTATACAGGTGGATAATTCTTATATTTCTGGGGTTAAGTGGAAAAAGCAATTTCAATAGAACAGGAAATCCCTCATGCACGACTTATATCTCTTCATTTATATTTGCTTTAGTCACTGTGTGTACTGCATTGCAATCCTGACTTTTAAAAAGGATCATATCACCCACCCAGGCCATAAAAGAAATGTATTAGCTAACAGGGCCGCTGAATTACTGGATTTATTCAGTCTCTTTGTTGGGCTGAGTAATAAGAGAGTGTTGTTAACCTCTGAGAGTTCAATCTATAGGTACACTTTTAAGTGCCAAAGTTAGTTTAGCATTGTATACTGAATGATGATTTCTGATCTCATTCACAGCAACATAAACAGTGTACACCTGTTTAATGGAATATAAAAGTTACAGAATTGATAGGGTAGTTTCTCCTAGATACGTATGAGGCACATGTCCAATCCCCTGATATTTTGATATTTTGTTTTAAGCTACTTTGACAATATGTTTGAAAGGTAGTATAAAACATTATTAAATTGAAAAGCAGTCACAGGAGGCTGCCAATTACAGCGCAGGACTGCTTAATTGTTTCCCCTCCTATGTGCATAGTTCCTGGGTGAAGGGGAAGTACTTGAAGAGGGGACTTCCTGTAGAGCTGAAGGAGAAGAGGGAGGAGTGTGGTTCTGGAGGACAATAATACATGCAAAACATGTTCAACTGCGGTAACATTTGCTAACTAAATAGGCTTTTTATTTCATTTTTGCTTTAGTGATTGGTACACCCCCAACTTACCACTTTGTCATTTTCTTTCAGTATGTGAAATGTAAAGAGTTACTTCCTTAGATTCAGAGGCATAGCCAAGTGAACATATTGTTCATATTATCACTGGCAGCCCCTAAAAATGAGGATTTATTAGTGCCACAAATTATACTGTTGTGACTCCACTAGGAAAATTCAAGCATATTTAAATAGAGGGGAAAAGCAGAGTAATTGAGATTTTAATTCATTCAAGATAGACCAAAAAGATACAGAACAGAAGGATTTGAAACAGCTTTTTTATGCACAGCCACCTTTCTCCTGCAAGAGAGCAGAGGCCACAGATGCTCATTTTGCGGGATTGGATGGCAGAAACTCTCTGGCAGAATGAAAATGTGCATCTTACAAAAAGTGGCCATGAAGAATAGAAGAGAAAAGTATCTCTTATAAAATACAAGGGAGTGTGTCAGAATACTAAATTACCAGCAAACCGATTTCTCTATTTGCTTCCTTCAAAGGAAGGTTCATGTAAAATAACCAGAGCAACTACGGTAGATACCTGACAATTAGGGCAAATGCAAATGAGGTCAAGACACTTCTAGTCCACATATAGACATACACAAACATACATGTGAGCTGAATGTTAAAGAAACAATGTCTAATGCAAATTGGAATGGCTATGTACTATAAGTGCATGGGTGATTAATGGGCTCATCCACACATCCGTTTGCCTCCCTGCTTTTCTCCAGGAAAACCCATAGTTTATTGCTGAATCAGACCATTGTTATTTGTTCTGTTTCAGTGGTAAAGAGTGAGTTTCCCAGGGGAAAGCTATGGGGCAAACACAAAACCACTCAGACCTGTGCTTTATAGGCAGAGGATGAGCAGAACTGTGGGCAAGCCCAAGGTCAAGGCTGGGAAGTAGGAGAAGCAGTGAGCTGAATTTCTGCTCGTTGCCACTGTTTGAGCTCAATGAACCAATAGGTCTTCCACAGTAGGAACTGTGGACTTCCACTAGTTGCTAACTTTGCCAAGTATTTATAGATATATATAGATAGTGCGTGTGAAATTGAATTGAAGACTCCTGAGTACAGTGGTGCCTCGCAAGACGAAAAGAATCCGTTTCGCGAGTCTCTTCGTCTTGCGGTTTCTTCGTCTTGCGAAGCAAGCCGTTTAGTGGATTAGCGCTATTAGCGGCTTAGCGGGCTTAGTGGATCAGCTGATAAGCGGCTTAGCGGATCAGCTGATAAGCAGCTTAGTGGCTTAACGGATCAGCTGTTAAGCGGCTTAGCGGATCAGCTGATAAGCGACTTAGTGATCAGCTGTTAAGTGGCTTAGCGGCTTAGCGGATCAGCTGATAAGCGGCTTAGCAGCTTGGGGAAAAGGGGGGGAAAAGGAAAAAAACCCCGCAGGAACTCGCAAGACATTTTCGTCTTGCGAAGCAAGCCCATAGGAAATTCGTTTTGTGAAGCACCTCCAAAACGGAAAACCCTTTCGTCTAGCGAGTTTTCCGTCTTGCGAGGCATTCGTCTTGCGGGGCACCACTGTGCTTACTGTTAACTTATTATGTAAATCTTGTTTATTAATATTTTGGGTTTTTTTATTAAGTAAGTCTTCACAAGGTGAAAATATTACCATATCTGATTTAGGGAATCATGTTTGAACAGGCCTGTCACATGAAGCCATCAAGGACCAATTGGACCAGTACTCCAAAAGCAAAAGCCTCTTCTTCTAGCACCCCTTTCTGAGAAAGGAAGAGGCCTGTCATCCCATCCAGATTAACCTTTGTCCCTCATTTTCATACCGCCATATATATTGTTTTGCTTCTTGGATTTGGAACTTCTTGAGGGCTGAAGAAGAGATTTATTATTACACTTCTTCCATTGGGGATTCTTTCCCCTTCACTGAATGAATCGTCAATGAGGGATCACAATTTAGGTTTTATGCATTAGTATATGTGGGTTTCATAATTTGTAAGGTATTTTTAACCTTCTGAAACCTCTTGGTGTCAGTTCTGATGAAGAGTGGTGTAAAAATGCCAATTTTCAGTCTTGCTGAAACCTGAAGTAGGGCTTCATTGTCTGATCTTAAGCTTTGGGGAAATCCATATTCATGGAGTCTTTTCCTGAAATAATCCATGTTGAGTTTTATAGGTTCAAGCCACCTTGGGTTAAGGAAAACTGGTGACCTATGCAACTTTATACCACAGGTGTAAAATGACTAGGCTAATTCTCACACATTGGGCAGATGCATTCTTCAAGCAGAACACATTACAGTAGGCCAATCCACACATTGTAGCTTCCACAGAGATAATTGAGACCATGATAAAGTATCTAGTTTCCAGCAGGGATTCCTTAGCAGATCTTAGTTCTAATGTTTTACATGAACTCTAGCAATAAGACCTAACTCAAATTAATCTCTGAGCTGAACATTGAACCATGCTAGGGGGTTCTGAATTCCCTCTAACAATCAGTACCTATTCTTACGAATGACCTGAAAACAAAGAAACAAACATTTTTAAAAGCATATCCCTAACCATTTCCAATATATTGTACCTCTCACTGTGAATTGTTTTTCAAAATATTTCCTGACTGTTTCTAGCCTACAGGGAGCTAGAGAAAAATCCCTACTTGGTATTGGTACCGAAATGAGATGAGGGAGGCAGAGATTTGTGAAGAAGTTTATAATAGTCACAAGCCTATTTCTGTAAAAACCCACACTAATAGGATTTCTGTATTTCCCCTTTGGAACCTTCATTGCGGTGTTTTTTATTCATACTCCTAGCTAACCTTTCCTATTAAAGGCAAAGTAACTTGACTGACAACATCAGAATTCTGTGTATCTGTTTTGTTTCCCAAAACTCCAAATGTCATGTGGTCGTTTTACCTTAAACTTACTGTAGTATTTCTCTCTCTTTTTGTTTTCGTCTTTGTCCTTATAATCTGCAAGAACAGCAGCTGCAAAAACAACAACAAACCAGGAAATGCACATGTTAAGTAGAATGTCACTCACTGTGTGCATTATCAGCAGGAATTCAGAATGTAATCTGTTTTATACAGTGTGTTAATACAGCAGATCACATTTTTATTTACCTATTATCAAAAAGCATAAGAAAGGAGCTGCAGCATGAATGTAGTTATAGCTCAATTAAGCTAGAATTAATCTGATTTTCTCTTTGTTACATGTGTGTGTTTGTGAGTGTGTGCTGGAGGAAACAGAAATAATACTGCAGTACTATCACCCAATTCATGCTTCTCACATTCTTAAAATGGAATTCACACGAGCAATATATGTAGGATTTTGCAAACTGCAGTTAACGGTGCTGGTGCAAAGTGAACTTGCAAATAGCACGGCAGACAGTTAAGAATACAAGTTTTCTTCACACATCCCCTAACTTTTGACTACACTTGGAGTTTCTTCCACCCTGGGTTAAGAAAGAATTTGTTCTTTGTGGTTGATTAAATTGTGTATGCCCCTACTGAGAGTGTTAATAGAATTTTTGTCCAATTCCAAGGGGGCTGTAAATTGCAACACATTCATGCGACACCACAGGTTGCACTCGGACAAATGATGTATATAAGCAATCCACAGGAGACTTATTTAGTGGCTTTCAAGGGATGGGGAAAAACTGGTTGTTGTGGTCTGGAGAATGTGATGAAAGTGGAAACTGAGAAGGTACTTCATATGTTAAGGGTCTCACCTAACATAAAGTGAAAGGGAGCAAAGCAATGGCAATGAAGTTGGATCTCCACAGAAGTGGACCTCTGTTCCATGAATGCAAGAATGAAAAGGGGTTGGCTCTTCGTATATTGTGAAAGTTGCTGCTAATTCATTGTATTTTTCCTATGGGAGTTGACTGCAATCTAATTTACAGGATTTTGAACTGAGACATGGAATGTTGAGTGTGAATTAACTCCAATGGGGGGGGGATAGTCTTATCTTTTCTACTTAATTACTAATAATTCTATTCCTCCTCCCAAAAAAAATCTTCATTGCACTGAGCTATTGCTATAAAATGTAATTATTCTGATGACTTTGGTTAGTAAAGCTGAAATCTACCTGGGGTTGCTTCCTTTGCATAAATCACTCTTCTTTCCTATAGCTGCTTAAAAGTGCTGACCAGAAAACAGAAGATTAAAGCTTTCTATTCTTGAAAAGGGGAACCTTTCCAGTTTCTTTAACAGATGTTTCAAATTGCACAACACGTATCTTATGTCTCCGAAAGATTTTTATTAGCACAGTGTCTGGGATCACCGTTCCTCAAAACTCTTCTGCTCTGTCCTCTTTCTTTGTGAGCTTTCCTGCTGATTGCATGGTTGCATGACTAAAAGCATGCTGCCTTCCTGTTTATGTACTGTCATTCATCATCATATGGTTTCATATGAGGGAGAGGGACGCCTTGCATTTGATACTACCATCTGGGGAAGACGGCAGGGCCATGCAATGAGAAATGTCACACATCCAATGAACAAGAATCAAACATATCATATAGAAAATAGGGTCCTCTTCACATCAAGAATAGATCCCATCCAGCTTTACATTGAAACGAAAAGAAAAAAGTGTATGTAGTCTTTTTTTGTTAAATTGTTTTCTTACTTTTTCCTAGACTTCGCCCGGTGGTATTACCTGTCTCAGAGAGGTAAAATTTAAATCAATTTGACTAACCTTCAAAAGAAGAAGTTTCCCCCATTATGAATTTAACAATGATATAAATCGTTATTGCTGCTTTCCTACCTCTAAGGTTTTGTTTAAACCTGGGAAAAGTAGGCCAGTACTTTGAGGTGACAGCTGCTGACCTCTGGCATTCTACCATGCTCAACATTTAATACAGAGTGAACTCTTTTGATGTGTTAGTTGCCACAGAATATATTGTGTGATTCTACCTGTGGTAAACTGTTTCAAAATGCTGGAACAAAGACAAGCAGCTAGAAATATGGGGTAAATCAATTCAGGTCTCCCACCATTTTCCTCTACCCCATTATTAAAGCTCACTCACAAAGTTTGTGAGATTTCTTAGCATATCATTAGGAAGCACAACTTAAGAGAACATTTGCAACCACTAAACAAGCTGTATAGTAAATATTCAAAACGTGACCTTATTTCTCAAATGTGCCCTTGGTATCTGTACGCGACCATCCAAAAGAGATTATTGCCCTCTTCAGATATTCCAGCAGCTGTCTACAATACTAATGTATTGAAGCTGAGCCCTTCATCCCATAACCCTCTGTGAATTGAAAGGTGACCTTATGAAGAGGGGACCCTGCTTCAACTTGTGTAGGTTCCCTCTGTGATGAGGAACTCTGGAAAATCAAGATTTTACAATCCAAGACAAACAGATCCTGTTGAGATCATTATGTCTGGGGCTGGTTCTCACTGTCATGGATGAGATACGTGACTTTGTAAAAAATAAATACTGTATTTTTTGCTCTATAAGACTCACTTTTTCCCTCCTAAAAAGTAAGGGGAAATGTGTGTGCGTCTTATGGAGCGAATGCAGGCTGTGCAGCTATCACAGAAGCCAGAACAGCAAGAGGGATTGCTGCTTTCACTGCGCAGCAATCCCTCTTGCTGTTCTGGCTTCTGAGATTCAGAAGATTTTTTTTCTTGTTTTCCTCCTCCGAAAACTAGGTGCGTCTTGTGGTCTGGTGCGTCTTATAGAGCGAAAAATACGGTAAATCTGAAGCAAGCCAGGGAGAGCCATTTCTGTGGTTGCAGTTGATTAAATACTAGAATAAATTAGAGACTTTGTCACAAAGACAGCACAATTCAGCAAAGCTATAGCATGCTTTGGAGAAATACAGATAGCACTGGCGGTTTATTTGAGACTCCTACCACAGCCACTCACTGTTGAAAGGCAAGATGTATTTTAAACTAGAGAACTTTAAGGAAACCACTGGTTATGTTGGCCTTAGGTTCTTTGGCTTTAAAAAACTCTGAATATAAGTTGCAGGCAAGTGGGAAGGAACCTTTAGCTAATAAGAAAACCACTTTCTAATGAATTTTACCTGTTATATTAGACCTTTCTCCTCTAGTGATAAATCTGCCGTCCATGCAGTTCATGGCAGTTTTACAACTAATGGTGGTCATTTCAAGAACATTCTTTTACATAATTGCTTTTACATGATGAGAAGAAATTTATCATACAGGCAATGTAAAATTCATTTATCCTTACAATTGGTAAGCACCCTGCATTCCTGTACAATCTAGGGATGAGCTGAAAAATTTATAGGTAATGCAATTGAGCAAGGAATCTAAATGTGCCCCATGAAAAAAAATATTTGTTTTTGATAGACCAGAATTTCCCCTAAATAGTTTGAGGAAAATGGCTTCTAATGAATGTGGTAAATCTAGAGAGGGCTTAGTTCACCAAGTCTTAATTAAATGGGCACAGATGAGGTTCCCAATAATGGCATGTAAGTAATGCTTGCATCAAAGGAGAAACAGAGTATACTGATGCTGCTGGCAGGAGCCAGCATTATCTGAGATGGTGTTGCATAATCATGAAGACTATTTACATGGCACATCATTGCTGTGAGTCCTGGAAGACCTGCTCCCCTGCCCTCTTGGCATGGGAGGGCGGGGCCCACCAGAGACCATCTTGGCTGTCAGTCCTGGAAGACCAACATCCTGCCTTGAAGGCCTTTTCCACCTGGGCTGGGAGGGTAGGGCCCTGACTGACCCAGCTACAAAAAGCTGAGGGTGCTGATCAGACTCTTGGGCTAGGGTGGGAGTTGTTTTTATTTTATTATTTTATTTTATTTTATTTTATTTTATTTTATTTGTTTTTTTATTTTATTTTATTTTTAAAATTTATATACTGCCCTTCATCCAAAGATCTCAGGGTGGTTATTGCTGTTTGTATCTTTATTTTAGATCTTGTTATTTATGTCAAAATTGTTCAGTGTGTTTGTGTCCTTTTAAATGTTTTATTTATTTTTATGACTACTTTTGTTATGTTGTAGCTATGTAATTTTTTCATATTGTAAACTGCCTTGAACCTGGTTTGAACTGTGGAAAGGCAGCATACAAGTAATATAATGAATCTATGCATTATTAAAAGTTGAGGGGCAGTCCATTAAGAACTTGTAGCTGATCTACCATAATCTACCCAATTGCCTTGTCTGTAAGTGAAATATTCAAAACGAGCCTAGAATTCCTGGAAAACATGGACCAATAAGGGCTTATTTTTATAACAGATCTCACCATGCCCTCCTTTAGGAAACATTAGCTATAGACATTATCAAATCAACCATTCATGTCTCCTACTAATATAATTTTGTTTTCAGCAAAGTCAGTTAATATTTGAAAAAAATATATTTTAAAAAACCCACATTAGGTACATATACTTACCCAGTGGTCCACTTAAATTCAGTAAATTGAGCCTATCATCTGGGTCGGAATACTGATTTTTTTAACTGCCAATCCTGATTCTTTATATATATTACTGCTCCTTTTGTTTTTCTTTCTCTCCACATGCAGCATATACTATCCCAAGGAATCTGTTTTTAAGTAAGCTTTCATAACCTTTCTATATATGTGTATCTTGGAAACAAACAACATCAGTTTTGCCTTTTTTATTTTGAAAAGACTTTTTTCCATTTTATAACATCATCGATCCCCCAAACATTAATAGGAAAAATGTTTATTTTATTTACAATGAGAAAAAAGTCCAGTAAATAGTAACAAAAACAAAGTTTACTGGCAACCCAACTTGGAAACCTTATTGCATTCAACTGAGTTTCCTATATTTTATAAATAATCATGAGATTCTTTTCTTGGGATTTGTTTCTTCTATCATTTCTATTACCGGAGTCGCCTCTTCCACATTCCAGACAACCACCCATTATTTGTCCATTTGAACATTAAGACTAAAAGGGTACCATATTGGATGTCTCTTTCTCTCAAATATATGGTCAATCATTTTAAATCTCTTCTCTTTTACAATATGTACAAACTCACATCTGTCAAAACCTCAATATTAAGTTTTTCAATTTTTAATTCTTTTCTTGGCCTCGGTTTCTTAAAAATAGCATATTTAACTCAGAAGCTAATATATTTTACAAAAGTGTCGCAATCAAGTTTATTCCATTATGCATAACATGAAATAATTTTGTATGCCTACTCAATGATCATTTCACACATTTGGTCTAATTCTAAGATATCTTTAAATAATAGCCAACCAGATTGTCACATTCAATTTATTCTGGAAGACCTCTCAGCTTTAATTGTCTCAATTCTGAAACTAATTGTTCAACCTTTATTGGAACTTATTGACCTCTTGTTTGTATAAACTGTGTTCAGTAGTAATTTCTCTTCTTTCTACAACACAATTACTTCCTTTATTTTCTTAACCATTTGCTCTTGCATCCGCACTTGGCTATGCATATCTTGGAATTTTTTTATCATAAAAACCATTCCTGACAATTCATTAATCTGTCCCATAAATTTTTGATCTCTCTCTTGAAGCAATTGCTTTAAGTTATCCTTTTCTTGCTCTAGTTTTCCTATATTGTTCTAGTTTCTGAACTCATAAGTAAGTCCTTTCCTGCTCTTTCTTCATATTTGTATAATTCATTGGAAAATTCCCTTTTCTTCTGCTGTTACCTACATGATTTTGTCTTTTCCTCTCTCTGACTTTCTTGTTTTCCTTCCCCATCATAAAAAAATCACAGATTTCCCCTTTGATTTCCTTCTTTCCATCCCTTTCTTTCCACTTCTTTAGCTCATTCTATATCATCCTATCTTAAGGAAATTCTTAATCTAATCAGCAAGTATTTTAATTCATTTTAAAAGTCCATTCAAATATTTTCATTACTATAATCAGCAATAATTTCTTTAAAGAAAAGATAAAACAATATTCCTTAGTTCTTATAGCTCTTAAATAATCAATATTGTTTTGATCAGATATCCCAAGAACAGCAAATTTATATAGAAGGATTCCAACCAATATTATTGTTTCTATCATTAGTTTACAATTATACCAGTTCATTAGTTTATACAGAAAGAGGGAATAGAAGAAAATTGGGCGGGGGTGGTGAAGAGAAAGAAAAGGAAAATGTTTTATAGAAGCCACGGCTGTGCAACTAAATAGTGTTAAGTAACAAGATTCTTAAGAGAGGCTAAGTCCCTAAATAAGACAGGTAATATTGTTGCTATTAACTATTACTGAGGATCCAAACTGTTCCATTCGAGTTCCTAAGATTGATAGATTACACACAGAGAGACACAAATATTTCAAGGAATATGAAACAGGCTAGTAAATTACCAGCTAATGTATAAGCAAACATGAGGGCTTTTGTGCTAACTGATTCAGGGAGATACTATATCAATACTTAAGTATCCAAGAGATTATACTTTTTATTCTATTTCCCACACAACTTATTCAAGCGGAGATATGATTCCAATGACTCGTAATTACAAAGATATGTAACACAACAGTACGACAAGTACCCATGCATATTATAAATGTTAGTGATAAATATAGGTAAGGATAATATTATTTACCTATCTGCTGTAATAATTAGATGTGCCAGAAAGAACTCATCAATCAGAAGATATTTCTACAGGTACTGATTGAGATAATAGTAAAACATTCATTAGAGGCCTGTGTGTGTGTGTGTGTGTGTGTGTGTGTGTGAAGTACAGGAACAGAATAGGAAAGATTTACTGAAGCAGATTGATAATTTGGAAACAACAATTTTGAAAATCTTAATAAATATCTTATAAAAAAAAGATAATTTGGAAACAGAACTGCGAAGAAAATGAACTGTAGACTGATTGTATGGACTCTGCTTTTATATTATATGGAAATACAAATATTATCTGTTGGTTTGGGGATTAATGGGGTTAATTTGTTAATCACTGCACCAGAAAACAAAATGGGTGATGGTAGATTTCATTGAGGATAGAAAGCCTCTATCTTCTTGGGGGGGCAGGTGTTGGTATATTTTGGAGGTCATGTATCCAGAAGCTGTTTTCTGAGTGTAGCTGGTGTTCAGAGATCAGATCATGGCATGATCTCAGGGGCAGACAAGAGTTTGTACAGTAGGGAGAGAGGTGGCAAGAAAGCCATACTGGGATTGTGCAGAGAATAGCCATAGGTAATCAGGGAGGGTTTTACCCCAGAAGTTATAAAGTATTTCCATTATACATTTGCTCCAGTCAGAAGCTGCTTACATGCTAGCAACCTCTCCTTGTTATTCTTATATGCTAAGAATCTTTATTTTGTCTTTCAGTAAATGTTTTTTGTCTTGATTCCTTTAAACTGTGTTGACTTCATTTAGAATTCACCCATGTCTTCAGCCAAAGCCCATGCTACTTTGAGGTGCTTTTGGGAAGCCACAAGGAAAGTTTTAGGGTGACTGGGTATCTTTTAAAATCCTGTCAGTTTGGACAAGGCCATGATGCAGATAGGTTCAAGAACCTTGCCCACATCTTCAGGCTACAGTAAGTAAAAAGCAACCAAGCAACTGCAATACAAGGTCTCATAGCACAGCCCTGAAGACAACCTGGGATGTAAGTCAATGGAAATGAGAGCGATTTTATTCACAAAGTGTTCTGCAAACATGTTACAATGGGCCATTGAGTATTCTGCTCTAAATGACCACAGCAGTAAGAAGGAATGCTTTGCCACTATAGCCGCCATGCATCAGTCTCTAAAATAAACACAGACTGATGCTTATTTGGATTTGTCCAAAACTTGCCACTACTATTGTACTTTTGCTGGTTTATTGCCTGGAGCTACCTTTTATACCATGGAGCAGTGCCATCTATTTTCAGTTGGAGAGGACATCTCAGAGTTATATCACCCAGTCAAGCTACCACACTGTTCCAAATATAAACTTAGACTTCAACAACATGAACAAAAATTCCAGCAGCAGTCTGAAAACCAAGTGGACTCATCAGCCACTGGGGACAAACATTTCAAATACTCCTACTGTGGACTGGAAGCTGCTGAAATTACATTTATATCCTCATTTACAAGATTTTTACAGGAATTATTACCAATGATGCCATTGTTGGTGAACCAAGTCATCATCAATTCATGACAAGGCAGTTGCATTAATCTCCTCTGCTCCCAAGCAAATTATATCAAAATTCAAATAAATTTGCAGATGAGAGTGCGCAGCACATGACAGTTCAGCAATGTTCTGGGAGTTGGGCAGTCCCGAAAACCTGAGCATCATTGGCAAGAGTGGCCTCAGTATGGATTTTGAAGTTATCTGAGACCAGTGTTTTGGATAATCTCAATACTGGATCAGAGACCACCTACAGGCCAGTGAGATTCTACCAAGAAACAAGGAGGGCACTATGAAAGCAAAATCCCCTAACCTAGAGTCCAGCAAACAATGTGATTTGGTGTATGGGAAACCTGTGTAGCCAAGTGACTTCATTCACCCTGTTGCCCATCAGTTTTTCCACTAATGCTGTGCCAGGAAACTGGTCAGACATAACTGGGTCACATCCAATCAACCTCATCCGGCTAGATCTTACTAATTGAAAGAGAGTAACATGCAACATTACAACATTGAACCAGGTTACCATAAACCATTATAGAGTGATTGTGTGCGTTTTAATCCAAGATTAAATATTGAATCAATAAAAACAAAAAATAAGCATTAAGCAGTAACACTTTTAAGAGATGATAGGTAGTTGATGAAACACACCCCACGTTACTTTGACTAGAGAGGGCCTGGGTCAGGAGATCTTTAATTGCTTTCACCCTGTTCTCCTTGCTGGACCAGTAGCTAATTAATCCCCTTAATCAACATAGGTCTCTCTCTGTCTTCCCACCACCTCAGATGCAACTACTGCCAAATCTACTAAGGTTACAAAGAGGACCTCCTTCAAAGAGAAGCCAACTTTCCACAATTCCTATTATGAGATAACACATAACTTTCAACCATTACTAGCTCCTTCTCTCCAAAGCCAAGATCACCTTGCATTGCATCCCTAAGCAAAACTGCAGCTCTCAGTAGAGGAACAGCTGAGAATGAGCGTAGGGTAGAAATGAGAAACCGCCGTTTCAGCCATCATCACAGCAGTTGAAGCTGGCAATATGCAAACTACAGGTTGGCTGAACACAGGAGAACTAGATGACTTTTGCTCTCCTCTCTTGTCTGTATTCCAATATGCCTGTGCCGGACCACATCAGTGAAATGAATTTCTTTTATTAGGAACTAGTTTTGAAGACTGATCTGGAAGTGGTAAGTAACTTCTTTACAGCAGCAAAGATTTGTAGTTCGAGTAGTTAGAAAAAGGCTGATACTTTTTCCTTTCATTGGTATACAGTGGTAACTCTGGTTAGGAACACTTCTGGTTATGCACGCTTCAGGTTAAGAGCACCACTATTCTGGAAGTAGCTTCTCCTGGTTGCGGACTTTGCCCCAGGATGCGAGCAGAAATCACGCGCCAGAGGCCCCATTAGCGAAAGCGCACCTCAGGATAAGAACGGTTGCAGCTTAAGAACGGACCACCGGAATGAATTAAGTTTGTTACTAGAGGTACCACTGTACTGATACCTGAATGGAGAAATGCATTTGGTTTGTTGCAGTCCTGAATGACAAGTTTCAACATTCTGATTACCTGTTTCCCTCCACCCCACTACCCCGTAATATGAAGGCTATTGATTGTGGCTTGGATCTGGAGAACTGCTGGAAGAAGGAGGTTGCCAGTAGGTGGCTTTCCCACACACCCTTCTTCAGCAACTTTTCACCTCCCCCCACAAGACTCTTCCAAGGTTTGCAGAATCCATCGAAATGAGGTGGACACAGGGGGCTGAGGGAATTTTTGGCAATTACCCACCTCACTCATCAGGATCCCCCAACACTCAGGAGAGAGTTTGGAGGGTTACCCAGGGGAGGAGAGAGTATGGGAAAGTCACCTTCCCCCCTCCCCTTATGCTGGTGCTTCTTTGGATGCAAGCCATAATGTTTTCTTACTCTGTTGTGTATTTTAAAAGGAAAGAGGCACCGACTGAATGGCTATGGTTTCATATGATAACTGCTTCAAGAGAAGGCCTGGATGCCCACAGAAGATGCTTTATTGCAATTTAGAATAGCTGGAAGTAACCAGATAAAATTATGTAGAGTCAATTAAGACTTGATTGGGTGCAGGAGGGATTAAAGGGCAGGGAAGCTAGTGTTAATGAAAGCCACTAAAGGGAACAAGAAAGGCTTTAATAGCTGTCTCAGGAGTGGACAAGCAAGTATTAAATGAGAGACACTTGAGAGTGTGAAATATCTGAACTACATACTTGTAAAAGATCTAAGTGCAATTAGAAGGAGTCAAAAGCTTTGATGGTTTTGCTGATGAGATACAGAAGGTGTGAACATGTTATAAGTGTGAATAAATCAGCAAATACAGCCGATGTTCAGGGTGGATATCTCCTAATGTATTTTCAGTAATAGCCCCTGCCATAATGTAATCCCAGCCTAAACATAAAAGTAGGGGTGCATTATTGTCACCAAAAATAAGATAACCATATAATGTCTCACATGTCTCTGTGCAAGCAGGGGGGCAACTAGGGAGTGGTAGGGTTGGCCTCCACCAAGGGTGCAGGGCCAAGGTTGCAGGCCCTGGCTCGGCAAACCCTCTCTAGAGAAAGCAGCACTGTCTCTACAGGCAAGTCACTGAGAATGCAGTCTATAATGAATGACAGTGACTCAAATGCCCGATGCATTGTGCTCAGGCCTAAAGCTGCAATGCCTGTGCTGATGAAGGACTATGAACTTATGGGCTATCTATACAGCCACACCTAGAATGAACTGGAAGAACATTACGGTTAGGTACCAACAACTGCTGCTGTGTGTTATGCCACCTACATGGCGTTATATATCCTGTAGCCTAAGTCACCAGCATTGCCTCTTGTGCACTACTTGTGTGACTCCTGTGAATTATAGGGCTGCATATATTGGAAAATGTGTTCTGAATATGGTAGCAGACTGAACATTGCACCCTCTTTTTCACTCCTCTTGGACTTCTGGCTCCATGCTTCATCTAGGAAATCAGAACTGACCTATGCACAGTTCCCGTCTACTGAATTTCAGCCAAAATCTAATTTCAATGAAATCAGCAGGGAGAACAAAGCGATCAAACCTTTTTGTTTGTTTTATTTCATTGGTTTTGCTACTTTCTCTACTAGAAAAGTAAGCTTGTTAACATTTGGTAGCCGGCAAACAGTCAGGTAACTTGTGGGTGGACTCTGACTAAGGGCTTATCCACATTTATGGATGGAACAACTTCCGCACCAGCAACAGAACTTCCCTGTCATCTCATCTGCGAATGCACTATTTACACTACCCCCAAATCTGCTCCGAAGGGTTTGGATAACACCCCAGAACATAGAATGGATTGGGGCGGGGGGTTACAAGGGGAGGAGAGGGAGGGAATGTTTTGCTGTAACTTGTCAGAATTATGTTACTGTAACACACCCACCCCAACTGCAGGAGCAGTCTCTCCCAAACACATTTATGCATTCTGACCATTGCCAGTGCTGGTAAAACACTCATGAGCACCGCTCCAATATATGCAGCAGAACAAACAGCCACTGCACCCACTGTGTTTTGTTACAGACTCAAAGGTGAACATTCTGCTACATTCTACTTGGGTGACGGAGGGCAGGAACCAAAGCATAAGCACTAGCACAGCACTCTAGTAGCCCTACTCTATCTTCCTTTGCTCCCTCTCACAACCAGCTATTGTGTATATAGGTTCAGGGAAAGTGTTCCCACTGGTGACTATTGTTCATTATTCTTTATGAGGTCCATCTGCCTCAATCTCTGCAGGTTAATTATCCACATGGGGTAAATCCAACCTCATGACTGGTAGCAGTAACCAGGATGTTTGTTGCTGTTCCTCTTTGGGGTCGTAACCTACTTTTCCAGGCAGGTTCCTGCGCCCTTGACAACTGAACAGCCATACTGCTAGACAAGAGGTGATGATGTTCCTGACTTTGAGTTGGAGCCACGAGGGACATTTCACCTGTCGAACATTTTTGCTAAATGTTGAACTACTCCCTAAGGCTGGATTGACTACCTGTAAACCCCGCATCTGTGTCTCTCCCCTTTTGGAATTTTCTGCATCCAGACACAGCTAAATAAAGGCAATGGGGTTTTGATATGTGTTGTTTCTTTGTCGCTAAAGAATCGTAGGGAGGGAATCTCTTTCCCCCCAGCCAACATGATATGATTTTGTTTCAGGACAGGACAAAGGGAAATGGGCAGGGAATTTGATAGGGGCTTATTGGGGACTTGAGACAAATGGTCATTTTTCAGCAATGATTTGTCAGTTTTAAAGAATGGCTTGCTCTTTGCCTGTTGCATTTGTTTCCCTCCATTTTCACCAAGAACAGAAAGGAATCCTCTAAATTTGTTTGGCTCACTTTCTTCTAATGGCACAGCAGGCTATGTCAAAAACCCCAGGGGTGCACATGCAATTTCCCCCTGTCTTATTCCTTTCCTCCCTCTTCTTCATAGCCAATAGTTCTAGTGGGACACTATTAAATATGAAAATGTTAGGAGAGCAAATGGGATGATTAGAAACAACTGTTCTAGCTCTGAGGAATACCTATACACCAATTTACCTTGGCAGCAAGAAGAACTGCTGTGGCTGGCAAGACAAGCAGGGTGAAGTAATTCTGTGTGTGCACACATGGTAGAGAGAGGGAGATCTGGGGTTTTACAATGAAAATAGGCTTGGAGAATTAAACGTGCATGTTCAAAGCAAGGGTCAAGAACCTGTGCCCCCCTCAGATGTTGCTGGATTACATCATCCATGATTATTGATTATCAACCCAAGCCAGGTTATTAACTGGCTGGAGTTGATGGAAACAAACTCACTGAGCCGGCAGAGGGTGCAAGGTCAGAATCACCATTCAAAACCACACACATACAAATATTTAGTAATAGACACAAGTACAATGACCCCTGGTCATTATAATAATAAAAAGTTGGCAAATAGTGCTTGGAAGGCAGACTTTTCGGTATAGCAGTGTTCTTGTGTTTCATGTACCGTTCATATCAGTGAAAATATATTTTGCACAGCGTACACTACCCCACTCCATTACTTCCTTGCTGCTTCTGTAAGCTGAAAAATATGTATGTACTTTAGACAGGAACTTGGGTGAATCTCCACTGATCTTCCGATGACATCATTTTGGCTGTCTCTTCAACCCTTTAAATTCTTTTGTTGCACAACAAAAGAAAGAGAGTAATTTCCATTCCTGCTCGGTGTAGGCATTGTTCACCCTGATCCTAAACATATTACTTAGAAGCAAGTTGCATCAGTTTCAGTGGTATATACTGCCATGAAGGTATGCTTGGGATCACAGCTTTTGTCTACTATGTTTAAGCATGTCTGGTTTCATGTTACACCTATTGCACTCTGTGATATCACGATTGTTCTAAAATATTACTGCATGCTGTGGAATATTTTCAACTCTGTGTATTATTGAGGGAAACTCTTTTGTCGACAAACTGGAAGCATCTTAAGGTATTATAAAATATCTTTAATGTGTTGGATTGTAACTACTTAAGGTTTTCAACTTTTGAGTACAGTAATAAGTTGTAAAAATACAGGTGAACTTAAAGAGAAATGTGAGGTATGGCTTCTGTCAGTTTTGATTTCATTTCTGATGAAACTGGATGAATACAATGCTGTATTTTATTATTAGTGTTTCATATTATTTTCAAGATTAATTAGTATTACATTTAACTCCTTCCATCACTTATTGAAATCCAAGAGTTGTGCCTGAAATAAAGCTTTCTGTCTTTGTTTTAGATAAAGTTGAAGATGAATTGGAAATGACCACAGTATGTTACCGGCCAGAAGGACTAGAACAACTTGAGGCACAAACCAATTTCACAAAGAAGGAACTTCAAGTGCTTTACAGAGGATTCAAAAACGTAAGAATGCAAAAGCACTGATAGTGAAATGATCAGCACTTGAGAATATACCATATTTTTTGCTCTATAAGACTCACTTTTTCCCTCCTAAAAAGTAAGGGGAAATGTGCGTGTGTCTTATGGAGCGAATGCAGGCTGCGCAGCTATCCCAGAAGCCAGAACAGCAAGAGGGATTGCTGCTTTCGCTGCGCAGCGATCCCTCTTGTTGTTCTGGCTTCTGAGATTCAGAATATTTTTTTTCTTGTTTTCCTCCTCCAAAAACAAGGCGCGTCTTATGGTCTGGTGCGTCTTATAGAGCGAAAAATACGGTATATATTTTTTGTCTTGGTTACATGAATACTGCATACACATTAATGTGCTTTAGAGCAGGAGGAATACTTTTCTAATGTTTTTCATGACATTATTATTATAGTGGTACCTCGGGTTAAGAACTTAATTCGTTCTGGAGGTCTGTTCTTAACCTGAAACTGTTCTTAATCTGAAGCACCACTTTAGCTAAGGGGGGCCTCATGCTGCCACTGCGCCGCCGCTGCACGATTTCTGTTCTCATCCTGAAGCAAAGTTCTTAACCTGAGGTAATATTTCTGGGTTAGCAGAGTCTGTAACCTGAAGCGTATGTAACCTGAAGCTTATGTAACCCGTAGTACCACTGTATTATTATTATTATGTTTAGGGAAGCTTTTAATGTTTAATAGACTATTGTATTTTAATATTCTGTTGGAAGCCACCCAGAGTGGCTGGGGAAACCCAGCCAGATGGGCAAGGTATAAATAATAAATTATTAATATTATTATTATTATACCACCCTTTATCCAAGAACCACAGCACAGTTTACAGTATAAAATCACAAAATACATAATTACTCACAAATTACTTAGCAAATTTTGTCTGTGGCTTCACTTTCCTAATGGCTCAAAACTATTTATAGTTCCAAACTTCTTTTATTTCTTAATGTTCTCACAGTTAATTGTGACTAATTAGAATCTTTGTCAATATTAAATATATTGGATTGGACATCTAGGTAATGTTCCTCCTCCCCCCCCCCCCGCCCCCGGTGATTTAAGAAGTAGGAGCTGCATATTCTATACAGATTGTTTAGGTCTATGTCCAACCTTTAAAAGTGCTAAGAGTTTTGCTATACGGGTTGTGGGTTTGCAGCAGCCAACCAGAAAAACACCTCTTTCAAGCTGCTATTTGTATTGGGTGCAGGAGTAATAGCAGTTTGGGGGCAGAGGCAATTTTCACTGGGACCAGAGAAGGAAAGGATTAAACCTCTATCCCGCAATACTGCAGCCTCTTGGACCCATGCTTTCTAGGCAGGGGACAAACAAGTGAAGTGTGAATGAGCCCTAAGACATTCTCAGAGGAAATAAATTAAAAAATGGACTTAAGGTAATTAAGCCCATTATTTTCACTGGATCTATTCTGAGTATGACTTGTCCTGGCTTGCCCCTCCAAGGAAGGCACACGCCTAATAGTTAACTCTTTATCAACAAAATAAGCACTTACAGCAGCTCTCACAGTGTTCTGGATACACACATGCTTCTAGCTTCTAGGCAGCTGTCCACAGGTCTGGGCCCTACAGAGCAATTGCAGCAACAGTGGGACCATGAGCTTATACAGCAAATGACTGATTTACATAAAATCTTGCATGCATGCACAGCACCAAATCTGGAAGGTGCTTTTTTTTTTTATGTCACTAAAAGGGCAGAACAGGTACAGGACAGAACACTTTCTGCGGGCCCACACAGACATGCACGGAAGCCTGGAATGCAACCCCTGTGCAAACAGAGGATTGCTTGTATGTGACGGATTGCATGTATGCAATCTAGGACTTCTCCTGCATGGAAGTCGTTGCTGCTCTTCCCTCATCAAGTTCCTCCAGGTTCTAGGAGACAGTGGGGCAGGGGATGGCAGGGATTCACCTGTCCCCCTCACCTGATCAGCCTCTTTCTCCACCTGCAGCCCCCCTGTTCATCCCTGAAAGCTCTACCCCTTCTTCTTCCCCCTGCCCTGGCTCCTGCTTCATGGGTGGCACTGGACCCCATAAATCCCTGTCGCCCTCTCCAGCCCCCTTACCTCCAACACACACTCATCAGAGCCCTGCCAATCTCGGACATTGCTATCTAATCACATATCTGCCTTAGCACAGAACTCTTGAGAACTGAACTGTCGGAAATGAATTAATATAACCAGAAACTGAAAACAAAAGACCAGCTCTTTTATATACCACTTTTATTTGATGAGAAGTAGATTGAGTTGTGGTCATCATGTGACTGATTAACACATCCAGATCCTAATTTTTCTTACAGTAAGGATTTGTTTTGCCATGCTTCATTTTCCAAAGCTTTCCAGTGGCAAGGTAGATCCAGATCTTAATACATGGTAAACCAATAACATACCCACTCCCACCAAAGTAGTAATTCAAATGATATAATTTGTTACCAAAATGATTTGACTGCTGTGGCAAAAATGGGCACTGATAAAATTGATATTTTTTGAGAACACATTTCTCTCTAGTTTTTATGTCGCATACAGTGCCTCTTCTCTTTGCGTCTTGCTGCAAAGTTAACAATCTGATTGAAAGGGTCATGTACTGCAGGAATTATTACTGGGCCTGCTATCTTTAATAGGTCAACAGCATTCATATATGAAAAGATCAGAGTACATTAATAGATATCTCTTTGAGAGATGGAAGTCCCTTTAAAATGCTCTATCGTGTGCCTTTCCACTATTGAATTGCTGAATTGAATTCAAGGCCATGGGACTTAAATGATACATGCACTGTGCAATGCCTCTAACTTTGGATAAACTAAATCAGTCATCTGACATGGGGCTGGAGGGACACAAAGCATAGAAGCAAAGGAAAACCTAAAACCCTATACTTCCTTTAATTAAAAAGAAAGATCAGAAAAACTTCACAGTATCTGCCATTTATTCAACACTCAATACCCTCCTAACCATAAAGCTTAGTGACTGACCTCTTGTCTCACAAACTACTGTTGTGAATAAAAAACGAGAAGATGATGAGGCATCATGTATGCCCCTTGAGCTCCTGGGAAATAAGGTGGGATATATATATGGAAAAGTAAAATAAGCAAATCAAGACATGTGTAGGTGGTGCTTCAAGCAGCTCACGGTCTTAGTTTTGGCAGGAAAGGAAAGGGAGAGAAAATTGTAATAAGTGAAGGGGTAGATATATACCTAGTTTGACTTTTTATCATGTAGCAGAATGCTGCTAAAAAAAATTGGTGTGCACTTTAATGGAGATCTGCAGACAAGCCAAGAAAGCCATGCAGTGTAATTGTGTTTTGTTTTGTTTTAAAATTCATGGTCTGTGTGGGACCAGCCAAGGGCCACATAGTCAAAAACAGTTCATTCAAGGAAAACACTGATTGCTGAGGCCAGAGAACAGGCTCCACTCCAAAAATCGAAACTGGTGAAAGAGAGAATAAGCACATTAAGAGGAGAGTATGCAAGTCTTTCATTTTTTTATTCTCTTGCAATACAATTTCTTGATAAAGGGTTACACACAGGGTTATCAGCATCTGGGACAGGGTGTCAAACCAATAATGACTAAGACAAAACAAACCCTTGGTCTGGGTTTTCAAAAAATGCCAATACATAGTTTTAAAAAACCTAAGACTTGTGAGCAAATAACAAACCATAGCTTTTGGTCATGGTTGGTAGCAAATAAAGCATAATTACGTTCTAGGCAGGGCTCACACATAGTGCTAAACTAAAGTTAATAAACCTTAGTTTAATAACCATGATTTTGCATTGTGTGCGAACCAGGCCACTTCTTCCTCCACACTTCTCATGTCGATCCCTTGTACAAAGTGCATGAACAACAAAGAATGGCAATTTCCAAGTAAATACTACTGCGTTTGAAGCAGGCATAGGTAAGAGTGAATTGGTAAGAGGAACTGGCTTCAAGTTGTTGAGTCCATTGAAATAAATGGGAGGTATCAAGTAGCCATTAGTTATTTCACAATAAAAGGCAAAATAAAGGGACATGTTTTCATTATAAGCTTTGATATCCCAATTCTGTGAATGCTTAAACTATGGAATGATGGAAGAGTACTGGAATACCCTAATTATTTTTTGTGTATACACTTTTTTAAAAAGTTATATTAATGCATTGTGTGTTAACCAGACAGAAGATTCCTCAAAGTCTTCATAAGCAAGTCTTAAATAGCTATGCAGCCTCCAGTATAAATCAAACTAAGGGGCATACCTGCTTCGTTTCACAAGAAATAAGCCTGGCAAGTCAGCCATATTAAGTTATTCTCCCCTACTAATGAGGTCTCTTGAGCATTATTGGGTCTTATGAGACAAAATTGTGATCATTTTAGGTACAAATGAATTGGAATTAGCAGATGCATCTGAAAGCAGTCCAGTCACAGAAAGCTGAAACTAGATGATCAATGGCCAGATTGCCTTTTTATACTGTTCCAGAAGGTTTTGTTCAAAATATTTCCAGAGATCATAGTGAACTATAAAAAATGATTTTAAAAATGATGTAGGGAGAACATCAAACATTTTAGTTGTGCATGCATGACAGTGATACTATCATATCAGGAATGTTGTGGACTATGGGATAAATTCAGCATAGTGCTATGGCAATTTTTAGCTTGGGATATGGAACACTACCACCTCTCCTCTTTCTGGGGAATCTCCTGACACTACCAACCCCAGTCAATTTCGGCTGCTGGTGCTGCTGGGAGCAGATAGAAGAAAGCCCTGTTGCACTAGCAGAAGTTCTTTCATGGGCTTCTGCTAGTGGGGCTAGTTAGTTGAAACCTGTCCTACATTTCCAACATCCCTGGTCTTTGTCCAGGTGGCCTGGGGCTGATGGAAGTACAAGTCCAAAACGTGTGGAGGGTGCCACATTGGCTACCGCTGCGGTAGGGCCTCTAGTGGCAAATATTCCTATAAAGTCTGCTGAACCAGCAAAATCTGGGAGGAGCCAGATCTCATTAATTTAATTAATCAATTAACCAGATCTAATTAATATTATCGTAACAAGTGAGAATATTAATTAGAACATGGTAGAACAACTTCAAGCTGCAGACTGTGACAAGATAACAGATCAGCATCTATCTTTGTTCCATAATGGCACATGCACACACACGGTTTCTGGGCTATCAATACAAAGGAAAGATGACTGGGTCACTTAGGCTGCAGCCCTATACTCACTTATCTAGGGCTGAGTCCGATTGAATTACTTCTGATTTTGCTATCAATACTGACATTCTTTTTTCCTGTATCTGAGGGACAAACACATGGGACAGAGTTCCATAATTAACTGAAAGCTTTGGGGGGGGGGGTGTGGCCAGTGTGGAAGCCTCTATCCTTGTGGATGGGGGAGGTGTAAGTGACCCGATTCTGACCAGGCCTGCAATTGAGGTAAATGATTGTCTCCATATCCATCATGCTAGATCAGGATCAGCCCCTGTGTTGTCTGTATGTCAAACCTCTCCCTCCAACTCTGCATATGTGGGTGGATCTATATGGCTAATATTGGGGTTTAATTTCACCCCAGATTCTGAATGGCTAAGTTCCTTTATTTTTATATGTTGGTTCATATATGATGAACCAGTGATGTCACAAAATAAATATTCTCTCCTGCTTCTGTTCTGAAAAGTATTTGTTGATTTATTCTGGTTAAGTGTGTCCTTAAGTCTCCCAGGAAAACCAATGGGACTTAATGGTGCTTAGCTTTAGTGGGATTGGGCTCATTGTCTGCTTGTTCAAAAGCCTCTCTTTCACTCCTCAGCGCTTCAATTTTTACTATTGTTATTGTCAGCACTTGTGGTGCCTCCAAGTGAGGGATTAACTTTAATTCTCATTCATTCTTTTCATTCCCTTCTATTTAAGCATCTTTTGCCCTAAAGATATTTAAATATCTGAAAGATAAAATGCTGCTTTTGAATGCTGCTCCCTAGATATTCAGGCTTATAATAAAAGTTTTCTTTGACTGCATTAGAGCTCATCCACCTGGATGTAGTAGCAATGGAATAAGGATAGCATAAAAGAAATGCAAAGAGAAATGATAAACGAAAATATTCAGGTTTCATTGGCGGTACTGTTGGTTAGGGCAGGACTTTGGGGCAGAAGCCCAGGCCCACTCAGCAGAATAAGCAGAAGTGTAAGCAGGGCTGGCTTACCTCAGTTTAAAGTGCAGTACTATGCATTACCATCTAATGAGGTGGATCCTTGTAAGACCATTAAATCCACATCTAAAGTACCGTAACCTAACAATAACATTGAATCAGTGGTCAATTCTGGCACGTATATGTGGTACTTTATCCTGAGTCAGTGAGACTGATTGCATTATGGCACTGAAAGCCCAGCCATACAGCATTCTCCCTAGCATTCCATCTAGAGAACTGAATAAACTGGGTCATAATTAATATTGGCACACCAATAAGAGAAGAAAAAGCAAGTCACTTTGCTAAATCAGACCAAGTCCCACCTAGTTCAGCATTTTTGTTCTAGCAGCCAGTAGAAGAGCATAAAGGTAACAGTAACCACCTGTTGACTGCACCCAGAATCCTGTTAACAGAGGCATGGAGGTAATTTGGGAGACATCAAAATGTACATTCCAGGAGTAGCCAATGTAATGCACTCCAGATGTTGTTGGACAGCCACTCCCATCATCCTTGACCATTTGCCATGCTGAAAGGAGTTGACGGGAGTTAACATAAGAATGTAAAAAAATTAATCTAGTCCAGAGTCCTGTTCTCAGAGTTGTCTGACAATATCTGGAGAGAACTGCATTGGCTACCCCTGGTATAGTCAGACAGCCCAACTTGCCTTGATTCTTGAAGTTTTCATTTGATGGAAATCAAATTGAAGTTTGTTGCCTGAGGTGGGGGGGGGGGTCAAACTCACAGCAGTCTCTACAATCTTGTGTTTCATGGACAAATTAATTTTTTTCATCTTCTCCAGATGAAAATCTCCAGATATTTTCATCTGCTCCAGATATGTGCAGTAGAGTGAATTATGTAATGAACCCCCTTCCACTTAATTTTTTAGTGTCTGGTAACCACAAAAGTCATTGCTTATTGATAGAAGGCAGGGGACAGGACTGATTGAAAGTACCACAAGAGATTGCTTGGGTGCTAACATACATCCTGTACAGAACGTGCACAGAGGTACAGTATAAGGATATGAATGCTGTGTCTGGGAACAGGCAGAATTGCAAATGAAATCTTAACTGTTTTTTACTCATTTTTTCTCTCCAACAGGAATGTCCTAGTGGAGCTGTTAATGAAGAGACGTTCAAACAGATCTATGCACAGTTTTTCCCACATGGGGGTGAGTGGAGAGCATTCCATCTATGAAGTGTAGCTCAAATTTCAGAAATGATGAGTCACACAAAAATGATGCACATCAGCTTAAGAAAATTGATCTCCCTATAGAGGGGTTGGAATGCAGGGCTGACAGGCACCTCCAGTACATTAAAGTATTGAACCAAAACTGACTCCGCATGTGATTTTAAAATGCTCATGATATGGTTGTTGTATAATTTTGCATATCATTTTGGATAATGTCAGAATACTTGCATGTATGACTGCAGTTTGCATATGCTTATAAAAATAATTTAATTAGAATCAGAAGTGTCTATCTCAGAGATTTTGGAGAGGATAGTTGTAAAGGGTTTGTGAATAGTTTTGTGAGCCTTGATTGGCTATGGTCAGCCATATGCATTGGAAACATTTTTCTCTCTCTCAAATTGGCTTCATATTCTGTTTAGTGACTGAAACATAAACAAAGAGCCAAATCTGGCCAAATCTGATCTCTAACTGGCTGGCATTACGTGGGAAATAATGAAATAGTGTGTGGGGGAAAGATAGCAGAAGCAGCAGCAAAGGGAGAAGAGGCTGTGAACAGTAGTGAGCAGGTATGAGAAAGGTAGGATTTAAGAGGTTGGGTGTGTCCCCTCTCAAATCACTACTTTCAAGTTGAAAAATTAACCAGGAGAACATTCAGCTCAGCTGTACATATGCTTATTTAAATTTCTTTAACAATACATCCTCTTACTGTGTTTTATTTCAGATGCTAGTATGTATGCCCATTATCTCTTTAATGCATTTGATACAGCACAGACTGGATCTGTGAAATTTGAGGTAACGGAATAATAGTTTGTTCTGATTATTATTGTCTATCATCTTACCGGACATCATAGTTTCCAAACCTTATCTTTTCCTTGTCTCTGAAGAAAAGTGTTGTAGGCCTGGCAGCTTGTACTTAATGTAACCAACAGAAATTGATCCAGTACATGTTGTCTTCTCATTCTTGATACAGCCCATCCCCATGCAAGCCCCATGGAAGTGAAAAGGTTGGCACCAAAGATATGGGGTAATATGGTTGAAAGATCCTGGAAGCAAAATTTAGGTTGCTAGGTAGCATGTTGAAAGCCAGAACCTAGAAGGTAGCTTTCTCTATCACAAATTTGTAGTTTCAATGTGTTGATGAGACAGTGTCAGGTAGCAGGTTTTGGATTTGTTAAGCACTGGGGGAAATCTGGGATAAGCTGGGCGTATGCAAAAAGGACAGACTCCACTTGAACCAGAATGAAACCAGACTGTTGGTGCTTAAAATAAAAAGGTAGCAGGACAACTTTTAAACATACTGTTGGGGGAAAGCGGACAGGTGCTGAGAAGAGTCCACTTTGGAACAAAACTCTTCCCTGGAATGAAGATAAGAAAAATGATTAAAATGTATGTGGGGGAGGTATGGAACTAGGCACTGAGACTTGGCTGGTAGGCAGAATCATCAAGTCACATTGCTGTATCCTTAGGATTAATGAAGGGATGGTTAATGGTGTAAATAAATGTTATTGCAGAGAAGGGAATGTTATAATAAGGCAACATATTATAAGACACACACTTCTATACAGAGACTTGGAGAAAACTTTCTGCCCCAATTAAAATATATTTGTATTTTTCTGTCAAAAGGATTTTGTGATGGCACTATCCATTCTGTTGAGAGGAACAGTTCACGAAAAGCTACGATGGACATTTAATCTGTATGACATAAATAAAGATGGCTATATAAACAAGGAGGTGAGTCAGTGGCACCTATTCAGCTTTTTAAAGGAAATGAAAATGGAGGGTTGGAAAATGCTGTTCAGCTGCTCATCTTAAAACATACGTATTTTTCGCTCTATAAGACGCACCAGACCACAAGACTGTTTTTGGAGGAGGAAAACAAGAAAAAAAATATTCTGAATCTCAGAAGCCAGAACAGCAAGAGGGATCGCTGCGCAGTGAAAGCAGCAATTCCTCTTGCTGTTCTGGCTTCTGGGATAGCTGCGCAGCCTGCATTCGCTCCATAAGACGCACACACATTTCCCCTTACTTTTTAGGAGGGAAAAAGTGAGCCTTATAGAGCAAAAAATACAGTAATTCAACCTTGGCACGACAGACTGAAAACACCCCAGCCCAGGTCAGCATGTGCCAAAGCCAACTCACACTCATACATCTTATTTAAAGGAAAAAATAATTATGAGTTGGCTTTTGATACATGTTAAATAATAGGTATTTTCTATGATTTTATTATTTTTTTAAAAATCTACCTGGACCCTCACCCTAGACCCCAGGAGTTACAACAAATTCAATTATAATATATAACTCTCTAGGTAAAACTGAAGCACTTTAATTTTGGGTGAATCTCAAAGAGAACACATCTATATGACATTAGCAAACTAACAGGAGGAATAAGAAAGCAGGAAGTAATGCAATTGTTGGACATACCGTGCCAGAGACAAGACTTTGAGAGAACAAAATGTCTGACTTAGATCTCGCCAACCAGTTTCCTTGGAAGAAGATGAAAGCAGGGAACAAGTTCACAACACATTTGTGGCCACAGTAATAATGAGTCTCACAGATAAATTAACAGCACATGGAACACCATATGCCAACTTGGCCATTTTAGTCCTTAACGACTTCGCCGATTTCATGGCAACAACCTCCCTCAATATGTTCAACAAATTACATGAACTAATTATCTCTTTTGAGCCACAAGCTGTGCCAGGAAGTGTTTGTGTTTCTTTGAAATGGAACAGTCTAAGGTTCATAAGGCTTGCTACATACATCAAAGAAGCCAGATACCTTAGTCGAATTTGATCATGGTGGTGAATGAGACATCAGCAATCTGCAAGAGCAGCCTAGAAAATTGTGTTTCCTTTACAAAATCAGTCAAAGCCAGACCCCTCTACTCAAATGCTAGTGTAGATTCTTGCTTAATGTATGTAATATACTGCATTCAAATCGAACTATTCAAGAGATTATCTAGCCATCTCTATTTAAACAATAGAAACAAACAATTACAATCAGATTCAGGTAGGTAGTCATGTTGGTCTGACACAGTCAAAATAAAAAAAAACCAAATGGTCCAGTAGCACCTTATAGACCAACTAAGTTTATAAGGTCTACTGGACCATTTTTATTTTTATTTCAATTACAATCGGATTCAAGGAGGTACACAGTCATGGCCACCACAGTAGCCAATGGTAAAATGCATGAAGATAATTTGGTAAATTAAGCCAGCTTGTCTTTAGTATTACATTAGAAAAGACTGGTGGAAAAGCACACTTTACAGTCATTAAAAAGTAATGTGTGTATACAAGAAACTGCAGAGATAGATAGACAGATAGATAAGCAGTCAGGGAGAGGGGTGTTCATTAGCCTAATTTCACTTTATACAGAGGTCCACAAATGGAAACTACTTTTTTAAACCTATTGAAACTCTCAGATATATTCACCAGGTCTACCAGATGGCATTTGCAGAGCAAATTTGCTCCCAGGTTAATAATAATAATAAAAATCCATAGAATGCATAGCTACCAAGCATAATTTTTTCCTTGAGGGTGGTTAAGGAGTGGAAAACTCTGTGTATTTTAGATTTCAGAATATGTTATATTCATAGGTATTTAGATCTAAAGCACAGCAACACTATTCCTTTGTGTGTGGGCTTTCAAAAAAAACACAGAATAAGGGTGATGCCCACAAACTAGCTGCATTCTCTTTGTTGAAGGTTAATACTAGAAATGTTAGTGAGTCAACTCATTGCCAGAGCCCTGTTTGATGTCTCCCTTGTGCTTTGATTGTCACAATTCCAGGAAATGATGGATATAGTAAAGGCAATTTATGATATGATGGGCAAATACACCTACCCAGTGCTGAAAGATGACGCTCCAAGGCAGCACGTAGAAGTTTTTTTCCAGGTAAATTTCCATTTGTTAGTGCACATATATCTCCCTTATGTTTGAACTCATACCTACTATATTTTCAGTCATTTTGTGTCTGGGCAGTGGAATCTGTTTAAATCTGCAAAACCACATAGATGTATATGAATCCTATCAGTGCTATATTATACTGCACTTTGTAAATGCAGTAGTGCTATGAACTCAAAGAGTTTGTATTTTTCTGTATTGCAGAAAATGGATAAAAATAAGGATGGTGTCGTTACTCTGGATGAGTTTATTGAGTCATGTCAGGAGGTAAGACTTCCTTTCATAGTAAAGCTAACCAAGAGATTGTCTCATGCCAGAAAGCTCAGATTTCACTTCACCCAAAAGCTGAGAGCTCCAGGACATCAGGTTTTGATTGGGCCATTATGGCTGAACTTCCTTATGAAGTTCAGGATTCTTTGCTGCACTTCACCACTGGTAGAAAGAACAGGGAAGACACAGTGCACATATTGCATACAATGGGGCTGCACATACAGTTGCAGTTTGGAGATAAAGGGATTGTGTACATGTGCACAGAGAACACCATATATCTGTATTATCCGGATATGTCCAAGTCATGTTCTCAACTGTCTGTGCAACTGAGAGTACAATCTTATGCATACTTAGAAAAAGGTCTAGTGGGATTTATCCCCTTGTGGGTGTATTTATTATTTCACACTAAGAGTAGCAAGGCTCTCTTACCCATTCTGTAGACCTTCACTTATTGCACACATTCTCCATGTGTTAGGATGATATACAGGTAGAGATTGAGATAGCTATAGCTATATATTTACTAACCTAGAAGTGAGAAACAACTCCCCAAATTTCCATCTCTCTGCTCATCTGAAATCACAATTTCCAGATGATTCCTGAAAGCAGTAGCTGCTGCATTTTAGTTTCTATATGAAGAAAAGACTGCAACCATGGCAAAACTAAAAGTTGGTGGAAGGTTCCAATGCAAAACAAGGCATGATACCTTATACTCTCAAAAATGGAAATGGTGTGAATGGAATTGCCTCAGCATTCCTGAGGGCTCATCCACAATTAGCTTGTCCCATGCCTAGAAAGCCCTAAGTGTAACCTGAAACCTGCACAGCACTCATGAGATCCTAATCTAACTGAGTCTGTAACTGTTTCCTTTTAACAATCTATCTCAAGCATTTATGGCTTTTGACACCAGGCTTTACCCGACCTGCACTTCACTGAATTCTTTGCTCAGTGAAGAATTATGTAGAACCTGAAGGCTTGTTCACACACACTGTGACATTTTGATTTGTGCTAGTAAAGAGGTTGCTATGGATTTTGAACCGTTCTGTACGGAAGCTACTCATGCAAAGTACAGCAAATCAATCGGAACCCCAGTGTTTGACCCCAAAATGGTTTTAAAATAGGTATAAGTTGGAACTAGTGGCAGCTGCCTAGATATCTTCTGTACTGAAGATTGTATTTGTGCAAACTGGGGGGTGAACTAGAAAAAGTAGCTTATGTGGTTCTTATGTCTCTGAAATTTTGAAAATATAAGTATTTTTGTAAGCTCAAGATAAACATGAAATAAATGAACACATGGCTTTAAGAAAGAGGATTAAAATTAGACATCTGGAATACCATCCAGCTCCACTGAAACTAATTGACTTTAGTGGAATATTGATTGCTCCCCTGCTCCCCTGTTCTTTAATTCAACATTACACATAGATGTAATGGGAAGTGCCACAGGGAAGGTAAACTATAGGAGGGCCATATCTCAGTGGTACAGCATCTGCTTTGCATGCAAAAGGTCCCTAGTTCAATCCCCGGCATTTGCAGGTAGACCAGAGAATGTCCACTGCCTAAAACTCTAGAGAGCCACTGAGACCCACTCCATACTCTGCAGTTAGTTTGCTTGTGGATTCTATTTTATATTACTATATTAATTGGATATGCATATTTGGATCACCATGGTCACAGTAGGTTAATGTCATTTGGAATAATATGGCATAATAATATGCTTATTAATTAAGAAGTCTTCAGTAGGAGAGAAGGTACCTCATCTTGGAAAGGGAATGAGAGCAGTCAATCCTAATTGACTCTTTATGTACTAATGAAGTCTCTCACAGGTCAAAGCAAAGTTCTCATGCTGGCATTTGTGTCTGCATTGCAGCCCAAGTTGTTTATAGTGTATCACAGTCCAGAAGCAGGGCCTTGAATGGAAAAAAACAACAACAACAGACGGCTGGCAGTATATAGCACTGGGAGATATGCAAGTTTGCATAAAAACATGTATAAAATAGGAGAAAATGCATAGCATTCAGAGCTATTTCATATGGAAATTGGTTTTGGCCATAGACACTGGTACATTTGCACTCATTTAAACATGTTTCTATTATTTTCCAGGGACTTACCGTATTTTTCGTCCTATAGGACGCACTTTTTCCCCTCCAAAAATGAAGGCGAAATCTGTGTGCGTCCTATGGGGCGAATACAGGCTTTCGCTGAAGCTTGGAGACGAGAGGGGTCGGTGCGCACCGACCCCTCTCGCTCTCCAGGCTTCAGGAAGCTATCAGCAAGCCTGGGGAGCCCGCGGGAGTTCCCGCAGGGCTCACCACACTGCGGATAGCAGCCTGCCGCCCGGCGCGCGGGGCGCCCTGAAGCAGAGCGCCCCTCGCGCCGGGCAGACATCCGCAGCGTCGGGAGCCCTGCGGGAGTTCCCGCAGGGATCCCCACGCTGCGGATAGCAGCCTGTCGCCCAGCGCGTGGGGTGCCCTGAAGCAGAGCGCCCAGCGCGCCGGGCAGACATCGGCCAGCCCCACAAGCTCGGGGGACAGCCGGGAGGCGCAGCGCCGCCATACCGCTGTTCCTCGACCTGGTTTTGGGGGGGAAATAAAGGGAAAAAATATTTCCTTTATTTCCCCCCCAAAAAACTAGGTGCGTCCTATGGGACGGAGCGTCCTATGGGACAAAAAATACGGTAACTATGCATTTACAGTACAAGGCCATTTCTCTGACCTAAACTTCAGTTGAATCGTTGGGGTGGGGAGGCATTCCCAAGTCACCAGAATGGTATTCCACAGTCCCATCTCTCTCCACCCAGGCAAGCAAGGGGCTTTATTACAGTTCAAAGGAACATTCCATCCAAGCCAAAGAACTGCAGTGGTGTGTAAACAGTTGTGTGGCCTAAGGGGAGGTGTTGGCTGGAGAGAATCCTGAAGATCATACAGGGAGGGCTGGAGGGCCATATTTGCTCCCCCCCCCCCAACTTGAAGTTCCTCACCCTGGTATATAATATATATTTAAATGTAAAGGCAGCAACTTCAAGTCAAGCAATGGCGCAGGTCTATACATAGATTTTAGTTCAACAAACTGATTCATATATATTTACAGTAAGTATATGAAATGGGAAATGGCATTTAGCTTATAGTTTGATGAAATGAACTTGATTAATTGCAAATGATGATTTAAATGACTAGGATCCAGTTGACACTTTAGATTCTATGCAAATTTGGGATAATTGTGCAACCTCAAGGCTTACTGCCTTGTTCCATTGCTGCTTGCAGGCCACAACATGGACTCGTCCATAGTCAACTTAAGGTTTATTTATGGATCTTCGGGGGGAAAGCCATCTCTACCGGTCCTCCAGGCCTGGCAGAGCTGTTTGTGTATGCAATATAAATATGCATGGTTTATTTTCTCATTGCTTTCAGGATGACAATATCATGAGATCCTTACAGCTTTTTGAAAATGTCATGTAACAGCAGCTGAAGAACAGCATAGGAATCTGAGACTTTATATGTAATGAGACCCTGAAGAAAATGAGTCAAGATTTTTCTCCCTGCCACCTTTTTTGATGAAAGCTTTTTACTACTTGGACATACTCAGCGTGCAAGGATTTTTTATGCCATCGCAAACTGAGCTGTGTCTCTGAATGCAACAAACTCCATCTCGCCTCCCTCAAGAGACACTGATTAGAATTTATTTCATTTGGAAGCATGCTAATAAAACCTGACCAGAGAGACCTGCTGCTTAAAGTTTAATGAATTATTGAAGTTTAAATGATTAAAACAATATTCAAGTTTCTGTTAGCTAATCACAAAAGTTCTGCTGCTTTTGCTCTAGCAAGCTGGATTGCATATGGTACCACAGCATCAATAGCTTGCTATACATCTGTTGTAAGCAGAAACTCTTTTTGTATCATCACAGGACAAACAGTTGTGCTTATATTTTGCTTTGACAGTGAGATATGCGCTAGAAAAACTCATGCTAGTTTTGCAAATGGACACAAATCTAACATGGTAAATGGCCAGCAAGATTAATTTAGGTCCTGTCTAGATGATCAGTTTGTAGTCAACAAAAGCAAAGGAAATGCTTCCTGTTCAGAGACAGATACTGCATTTACCCAGAACTTAAAAAGGCAACAGACTGCTGCTAGGCAAATGATTTATTTCCCCCACTGGCAAAGCTGTTGTAAGCTGGAGGGCTTTCAGCAGTTGGCTGTTTCCTAGTGTCCATGCTATCAATAATAAAACGTGATGCAACTCCATCCTCACCACATAGCCATTTGATATAGCAACTGTAACACCAATGCTCTGCCTGCAAAGAGGGGACTCGCTGAGAGCTGGAACTGACTCTTCCTAAGACAAAGCTTGGGGAAGCCTCTTGTCAAGTTTTACCACCAACACCTCCATAGGAAGTCTTCCCACTTTGCCACAAGGTAGGACTCCAAATCAGCTATGCTGGCGGAGGCGGATGAGTGTTGTCGTCCAAAATATCTGGTGGGCACTGGGTTAGGGAAAGCTGTTTCAGATGAACTTGGTGATGTGGGAAGAAGGTGAAATTCAAAGGCGTGTGCACGGACACGTATTTGCCTTGGAACTGCCAGTTGTTATGTGAGCCCTCCTCCTCCCCACGCAATAGGACACAAATTATCCAGCATGGGAATTGTACCAGCAATGCCACTTCTATAACTGCCCACTCCCATTGTACTACAATCCCATATATGGATTGTTTTGTGCTCTACTGCCTCTGGATTGAGATCTGAAGGATTATTTCACAATGCCAAGAATGCAGTTGAGGCGTGCTTGCAGCTGATTGTCTTGACATGCCCAACTCATAACTTACTTCCCTTCTGTTCTCAAAAACTCATACTTGTGTCCCCTGCCGTCACTTTGACTGACTCCAGTGAAGTTTCTCATTGTGCATACAAGTGAATGAAATTCCTCATTGTTCATCTGAGTCGAGAGAATCAGATAAAAGCAGAGTTTACTTTTGCAGGCAAAATCTGAAGCATATTCTACAAAATATACTGAGCTTTGATAAGTTTCCCCCATTGCTTTCATCGGTTTGAAAGGTGCACAGTCCAAGGCCAAAGCTTCCATAGCATTTAAAGGGCTGGAATATTAAAAGTCATAAGTTTTTTCACATTCATTCTCCCTAGTGCACACTGCAGTGAAATGTGGGATCAGCAGACAGTGCTGGACATTGTTTTGCACCGTACCGATTTAACAGGGAATGCTAACAGCCCACCAAGTAGTCTCTACCCACCACTCAGGCCCCACTCAGCCCCACTGAAATGAACTGAGATCATGCACAGTTTCCCTGTGTATTGTGCCTAGAGTTTTCAAGCACAAAAGCAAGCACGATGCTCTGTGTGCACTAAAACATGCACCATTTGACCATTTAAAGTAGCTGGAGTCCTGAGCCAATATGAAGCACACACTGATTTCACTGAGGCTGGGAGCACTAGCTTGCAAAACAATGAGGTTGTTTAAGAGCAAGATAAAGAGCAGGGGGATTTTGAAGTATTTTAAACCAATTTAATGGTTTTGTTCAAAGCATCTACTTTTAGTGGGGGTGGGGAGTTTTTTTGGGGGGGTAATCTGAAACTTCTATTGGAAGAAAATGACAATAGTTGCAAAGTAAAATTTTATGGTGACTATTTCAAGATTTTACAGTATTTCCAATTATACACACCATTCATATTACATGTCCCAAATCCAGCTAAAGTTATCTGTGTGGTGTAAGGCACAATCATATGTATATTTTCTTGGGAGTAAGCCCATTGAGTTCCAGTGGAGTTTAGTCTGATATAACGTGTTTAGGATTGCAGCCTAAGGTGACAATCCTGAACAACTTGCTTGGAAGTAAATTCTGTTGAGACCATTGGACCTTACTTCCAAGTAAACCTAGTTAAGATTTAAGCCCCATTTGCCTTCAGTATCACTTAGTCATGGCTAACTTTACCTGGACTGGGGTGAGAACAGTTTCTCCACACAACTGTAACCATTTGATTTGGTAGGAAGTTGCAGTCACTGCCTGTGCCTTCTACAAGCCCAAAGAGCTCCTGCCAGTACATTTAGTACAACAGGAATACACTCTAGAACATGAGGATATTTTGCTTGGGATAGGATCCAACTGTTTGCTATCATGTATAACCCTAGCTGGGTAGTCAGTACTGAAAGAAATAACAGAAAATTAATCTCTGTCGTTATACAAGAGCTAGTTCTTCATTTAAGTCCCCATGCTAGAAAAATAAGATGCATGTTTTAAATAATTACTAAATTAGTAAATTTAGAGATTAGTGCCAGGACCTTGTTTGGCTGCCTGCAAGTTCCATGTGTCCTGATTTGCCGCAAGGCCTAGGAAAGTTTGTAGCCTAGACAAATTACTGGCTGTGGACAGAAGAAATAAGGAAGGGCAGGAATGTATTGGGTTACACTGCACACACACTGACCATCAGATTTCCAGGAAAGTGTTACAGATATTTTTTACAAACAGATTACATGTTGTTGGCAATCAAATATATTTTAAACATGACACCCATAGTTTTATATTTTATAAATCACATTAACTGTAACGCCTAAACTTATATAGAAATCAATATAGCTAGTGTAACTGGATTTGTGATGTGACAGGTTTGTTCACAATAAGATACTGTCCTTTAAACCTTGAAAAACTGGTTTGGAATACCCAGCCTCCACTGACTCTCCATTACCTGATTGTTCCTTCTTAAGCCTCTGTTGCTTTTCAGTCCTTGCTCCCCATTCCTTAAAAGATCCAGTGGTTTGTATTCCAAACCCTGATCCCTGTAAATGTGCAGTATGTACAGAGGCCTGTAGCATCCCTAGTTCAATGGGGAGCTTTCTGTGCAATGTGGTGCTGGTTCCCCTCAAAAAGGACAGGGCCTTTTTTACAAGCTAAAATCCTGGCAACCAGTCCCCTTGCTTTATCTTCCTTGTCAACTAAACTTTTTTTTCATTTTTAAAAAAGAACTATGCATGAAACACTGACTGATTTGCCTACTCTCCACTAGTTGGGAGTGACTCATAGTGTTTTCCATTTTATGATGTGGAAGAGACTGTAGGTTTGGAATATGGGGAAAACTCAACTTCTGCTTTAATTATTATTTATTATTGTTGCAGGATAAAGTAAATCTCCTGAGCCTCGTCTCCCAGGATGGAGACCATGTGGTCATCCCAGATGTTGTTGGACTGCAGCTCCCATAATTCCTGACTGTTAGCCATCCTGGCCAGGACTGATAGAAGTTGGAATCCAACAGTATCTGGAGACCCACGTTTCCATCCCTTCTCTAGTCCAGTTCCCTAGTTCCCTATTCTAAAATGGGGTGTACGAATTACCAAAATATCACATAACATCTTTTTATAGCAGGTTTTCTTCAAATGTTTTGAATGGGGGATTTTCTCGCAAAGCCAATTTCAGCTTCAGAAAAAGGGCTTTCCTTAGGACCATGGTAGATGCCGACGTGGGGATCCAGGGCACAGTCCTTCAATGGCTGCGCTCGTTTCTCTCTGGTCGGGGACAGAGGGTGGCGCTTGGGGGGGAATTGTCATCCCACCACTCCTTGGTGTGTGGAGTGCCCCAGGGTGCGATTCTCTCCTCGATGCTTTTTAACATCTTTATGCGCCCCCTCACCCAGCTTGTCCGGAGTGTTGGGCTGGGTTGCCATCAGTATGCTGATGACACCCAACTCTATCTGTTGATGGATGGCCATCCTGACTCGGCCCCAGACACACTGACCAGATGTCTGGAAGCTGTGGCTGGATGCTTACGTGGGAGTCGGTTGAAGTTAAATCCTTCGAAGACAGAGGTCCTCTGGCTGGGACGGGGCGATATGGGATTGAGGGGGCAACTCCCATCTCTTGCGGGGGTGCAATTAGTGCCAGCATCGTCCATTAAGAGTTTGGGTGTAATCTTCGACACCTCCCTCTCTATGGAGGCACAGATTACAGCTATAACAAAGGCGGCATTTTTTCATCTCCGCCAAGCTAAGCAGTTGGCTCCTTATCTCTCTCGCCCTGACCTAGCCACTGTGATCCACGTGACGGTCACCTCCAGACTGGATTATTGTAACTCGCTCTACGTGGGGCTGCCCTTGAGACTGACCCAGAAACTCCAGCGGGTGCAGAATGCCGCGGCGAGACTCCTTATGGGGTCTTCGCTGCGAGATCATATTCATCTGGTACTATACCAGCTGCACTGGCTCCCGGTGGAGTACAGGATCAGGTTTAAGGTGCTGGTTTTAACCTTTAAAGCCCTATACAGCCTAGGACCCTCGTACCTACGGGACCGCCTCTCCTGGTATGCCCCACAGAGAAACTTACGGTCTTCAAATAAAAACATCCTGAAGATCCCAGGCCACAGAGAGGTTAGGCTGGCCTCAACTAGAGCCAGGGCTTTCTCGGCCGCGGCTCCAATCTGGTGGAACGCTCTGTCACAAGAGACTAGGGCCCTGCGG